TTCCTCTGGTTTTATTCAGACGTACGAATGGGGATTGTCTTTGGAGTCATATTCATAAGTAAGTATTTGTAGTTGTACAATGTATACCAGAGTGTAACTATATTTTTTCTATCAGTATGTGGTTTGTTACTCCCCGAGCCGACATATTCAGGACAGAAATGTAGTGTACTTCCGTTCCGAAACAGCATTAGAAGTAGAATTGTTTAAAGACAAAACTGTTTATCTGGCTGGTAGTCTTTTATGCGGTTTGGAACCCTGCGTGCACCACTTTTGCTCCAGTTTTTGCCAGAATTTCATCAGAGTACCACTTGAATCATTTAAAATTTGGTAAAATGGACGTTGGAAGGTACCCAGAAGCTGGTCAGAAGTATCATGTGTCTGATAGTTCTCTAAGTCGACAGTTGCCCACAATAATAATGTTTTAAAAATGGTAAAGAGTATATGAGAAGACCACGGTCGATACAAAGGGGAAACTGCAGAAATTCTTGTTTTCTGAAGATAATGTCAAAGCTGCGTTTGATTTGAATAATTTATACAAAGAACAAAAAGATTTCCTAAACAAATAAAGGGAGCTGTTTCCAAAAAGCGTGACTAGATTTTTTGTTTTTATATTATTTGTTGAGATTCAAGTTTATTTTATTTTGAAAGCTTTAAGTTGTGTTTTTGTTCTGTGATTACTATTTAATATAGATTTAATTTCAGTTATATTTAATTTAGAACAATTTCTATTACAAACTAGTCACAGTCATAGTCGTCCAAAATTTTTACTAGATAATGCTTTTAAACACATTTTTCACTTTGAATAAGCTTTTATAGAGTGAAATTGTTTTTGCCATAGTTTCTTCACTAATATTAGCTTGCTCATGTCTCACTTGTACATTTAATTTATTTAAGTATGTCAAAAATTTACAAAAGCACAAAGTTTTGATTGCTGAACGATTGTACAATTAAAATCAGGCAATCCTTGTTCAACAGAAGAATGTATTATTAATTCTTACATCAAAGATTGCTTGTAATTAATAGTAATATGGGAATATTTCTCTCTGTAGTTGCTAGATGCACTTTTTTCTTTGTAGGCATGTTAAAATATTTATAAAATGTTATATTTGATAAGCACTATGTTCTTTCTAAACACCAAACCAGATGTAGCTAATTTTTTACTTCATAAAAAACACTAATTTTTGGTGTCAAAATATATTTAAAAAAATACTTATCTCATAATATGTTATTAATGTTAATTCTGATAGTGTCAGTGACTGTCCATAAACTGCAAATCGGACAATAGTAAAACTGTTTGTGGCAACGGTCTTGGTTGAGGTGAGAGAACTGTAAAAACTTGTCTTTCCATGTCTACATGTGTCCTAAAATAATTTTCATTAAATCTTTAAGAATCATCCTTGTTGTATTGGATAAAATTCTGATAATTTTTCATATATTAATAAATATAATACATACACACAAACATAACCGGCAATGTTACTTTGTAATACTTCTTCATCTGGATTTTCAGCAAAAGTTACAGCTAGTAAATGATGCAATAGTGCTGGACCTGGTGGAATTGGCATCAGTTTTGTAGAACTGTCGTCTATTTTTATGCCTATGGGGACACAGGAATCGGCAAATCTAAAGCGCCAATCTAAAATGAAAATTATATTTTATAGAACAAAACTTGTGTATCGAACTTATATATTTTATACCTTATATATTTTAGCTTCACTGAATTTAACATCAAAAGAATGTGGATAATAAGGTATTCGCTCCCCATAAAAATATTCTCTTATCCTCTGCTCCCTGGTTTCTGCTCGAGTTGTTTTACTCCTTTCAACAACCTAACACACAATCAAAAACAATAACAAAACATACTATTATACTTCAATCAATTTACTTACACCTCCACTTTTAGGTAACAATACGACTTTAACAAAATCCGGCATATCCCTGACCAGTTCATTAAATAAACGTTCCTGGTCTAAAACTAAAATAGCATCAACTTCAAAAGCTTGTGCTGCATGTGTAAGCTGTTTGTAACCTTCGCCTTTAACCCATCCACAAGTATTTATAACAATACCAGACGACTTAGCTAAAAAATAATTATATTAAATAGATGCACATATTTAGTTATATATGATGTGTTTACATTTTTTATTTGCTTCTATTCGTTCCAAAATAACTTCTGAAAGACGTGTTACAGCCATGTTATACAATTGATAATTCCCACTTGGAGATTTGTGACCAAAATGATAAACCAACGGTGCTTCCTGACAAAAACCTTCTTCAACCGGTGCAGGTCTTTCAATAAGTAAAGCTCCAATTGTCCCTGGAATTGCTATATTACCTTGTCCAACATCTAAATCTACCATTATAGGCCTACGGCCACATCTTACAGCCCAGTTCAGTAAAAGCCTAAAATAATATTAATAGATAAAACAAATTTAAATTGTGTGCAAGTATTAATATCACACCTGCATAATGTTGATTTGCCGACATCCATGGGGCCTACAATCATACAAATAGGACCTCTGATATTTTTTTTCTCTGCAGCATCTCTTTGTTGCTCCAAAGCATTATGACAATTTAAATACTGTACCTGTAAAAATACATTACTTACAATCTCTAATAATTAGTTAAACAATAATTAACTAGTTAGTGATTCAAGAATGTATTTTACCATTGGGGTGTCTCTGGCAATGTAACTAACATCAGTTTTGCCTTCAAGTTCTAAAGTAGCACCCTGCCAAGAAAATACTGCTACTTTAGCACCTGTTTTAAACTCATACTTCTTTCCTATAACTAACTCTGTTCCAAACAACTCTGCAAAACCAGATTTTAGCTAAAATACAATAAAAATATATAATATCTGAATATAATCATGTTTTTCAATAAAACATACTGTTAGTGTAACATGTTCATTTTTGGATTCAACTTCAAAACGCAATTCTGTATCGGGATCTAATTTAAATTCTTGCACTTTTTTTACTTGTGCTTCTGCCATTTTTTTGAGTAAAAATAAATTTTATTTATTGATTTTAAATATAAAAACATGTCCTATAGACATAACCTATAAATTTAAACTTTCAAAATTTTGACATTTGTAGGAAATGACAATTGACAGTTGGTCAGTCATACTCAGCGATGAATATTGTAAATCAAATATTTATTTATATGTCTAATAGCTTATTTACTGCAAATATTATTAAACAAATACTTGTTGACCAACTGAAACTATAATTTAAGTTATTCTTTATTAGTTTGATTTAATAGTGTTAAAATTTTGACAGTTGTGCAATTTGACAAGTGACAGTTGATTAATCAAATAATTCGAAAAATTATGAAACTAAACAAATATTTAATTGTATTAAAATATATTATATTTATCAAAGTTGATACTGTTAAATTCCATCATAACAGCTGAAAATTGTATATAAGACATAAATAAATCACATTGCACCATAAATAAATCCATTATAACCTATAATTTGTGTCAAGTCAATGACTGTAGGATTGTCAGTGATTTAAAAAAAACAATTAAACTTTGTTGTGCTTCCTTTGAAATAAATACTATATCTGTATATATAATAATAATAATAATAATATATTAATATAATAATGTTGAATCGCACATTTTCCAAGTTCTTTAATATTAAGTTATGGTTCTACATATCTCTAAGACACAATTCATCATATAAACCTAACAAATCTTCTCATGAGATACGAAAACGCTTTTTAGATTATTTTAACAAAGAAAACGATCATGTATTTGTTAGATCTAGCCCCATTGTGCCATACTGTGATCCTACAGTACCTTTTGTAAACGCAGGGATGAACCAAGTAAATACTTTTATATTAAATTCATAAAAACTTCTATAACTTATGCTAATTATTATTATTTTTAGTTTAAAGGAGTATTTCTAGGTTTACAACAGCCTGTTAGTACAAAAATAGCTAACAGTCAAAAGTGTGCTCGAGTTGGTGGAAAGCATAATGATTTAAATATAATTGGCCAGGTCGGTTATCATCATACATTTTTTGAAATGTTAGGTAATTGGTCTTTTGGAGATTATAGTAAGGTATTTAGATATAAATATATAGGAAAGTGTGAACTAAAACTGCATTATTTCAGTTAATTATTATTACTTATCAGAAACGAGCTTGCGAATTGGCTTGGAATCTTTTGGTGGGGCCTTATAATATTTCACCGGATAGATTATATGTTACATACTTTGAGGGGGATAAAGGACACAATTTAGAGCCTGATGTGGAATGTAAACATATCTGGAGGGAAATAGGGTAAATAAATCAATAATAATACATTCACATGCATTTATATTTATTTTTTAATATCAATACAATTTTTTATTGACTGTTTTCATATAGAGTACCTGAAGATAGAATTATTCCTTTTGGCATGAAAGATAATTTTTGGGAAATGGGAAGTACAGGTCCTTGCGGTCCTTGCACAGAAATTCATATAGATCATTTATCTACATCGGCCAATAGAAGAGATCATGTTAATAAGATTTTGGGGATCTTACTGAATTGTGGAATATTGTTTTTATACAATATAATAGGTGATTATTTACTTACTTAATTAATATTGTATATTGCGGATATATATTATTTAGCAAATGCCCTATTCAGAATTGCTTCAGGTGCTGTCGTTCCTCTACCTAAATGCCATATAGACACCGGTATGGGATTTGAACGTCTCGTATCAGTCATTCAAAATTGCAAAACAAACTATGACACAGATTTATTTGCACCACTTTTTAACACAATTCTTAATGTAAGTCAAAGCTTTAAAACGTCTTTAATCTGTAAAGAAATTATTAAATACTGTCCTATTGTTGTAGAATTCTAAATCTGCTATTAAACCTTACAAAGGCACTTTTGGTGAAGATGATCAAGCTAAATTAGATACAGCTTATAGAATTTAGCAGATCATTGTCGTTTGATTACAGTTTGTTTAGCAGACGGCATGATACCTGATTTAAAGTACGTATGTTTAAGCAAAATGTAAAATTGGTATTAATTCCTATTACATTCTAGTCCTAAGCTCAGAAGAATCTTACGCAAAGCTTTACTCCTGTGTGAAAAATACTTCAACACAAATGCTTCCTTACTAAAAGTTTTAAGCAACTCAGTAGCAGAAATTTTGGGAGAAACGTACCCAGAAATTGTAAAAAATTTAAATAAAGTACATAATTTGATTCATCACGAAGAAGAGGTGTTGCGGGCTCTTAGATTAGACGCTAGTAAAAAATGGCAAAAATTTTGAATGAAAGTCCTGAATTAATAAATTTAGATGTAATAGAGTTTCCAGGTTTGGTATCAGGGTATAAAGATTCAAAATGCTTTAACCAACGGTTCAAAAATATTAACAAGTGAATTAGCATATAAATTATGTGATACCTATGGTTTTGATGAAGGTGTTATACAAAATATTGCGGATATTAAAGGATTATATTTGATAAAAATGATTTTGATAATTTTGTCGATAATAAAAAGGCTCAGTCTAAACAAATGTCTTCGCGGTATACACAAAAGAACTGTATGATTTAATTGGTTCTTTCCAACAAACTATTCCTACTACTGATAATTCTTTTAAATATAATTATAACTACGACAACAAATATATTTTCCCCAAACTGCAAGCTAAAGTTAAAGCTATTATAGTCGACAATACAAGTGTAAAAGAAATTACAAAACCTTCAGAAGCCTCAATAATTTTGGATAAATCAAACTTTTATCACGAATCCGGCGGCCAAGAATCCGACACCGGCAAAATCATCATCAACAACGATGTTTATTTTGAAGTCACATCTGTTATTAACGTACAAAACTACATAATACACAAAGGCAAATTTATTACCACAAACAACTGCAATTTTTGTCTAAAACTTGACAATACAGTATTTGCTGAAATTGATGGCGAACGCCGACTGAATAACATGAGAAATCATACAGGTAAATAAAACTGTATAATTACAGTAAATGAAATAGTGAACATATTTTTTCATATTTTTAGGTGTCCATTTATTACAAGCGGCTGTTAATAAAATTTTGCCCCATTGTGTAATTGCTCAGACATCGAGCAAAGTTTGTTCAGAATATTTTAGTTTGGGTTTAGCAATTTATGGAGATCGGATTTCTATGAAACATATTGATAGAATTGAAACACAAATCAGGTTTGTAATAGACATATATATATATATATATATATATATATATATAAGCAAGAGGTTTTTCTTAGATTGTGAAACTTCAGCTTATATATATATATATATTTAGTTATTGATTTGTTGTAAATAATATTATTATTATTTATAGGAAAATTATAAATGAAGGAATTCCCATTGGTGTAAATTCTATAAATAGTCAAAAACTGTTGGCAATGGATGATGTTACACTTGTACCCGGTGAAGTTTATCCTGATGATGATATTCGAATCATTGAAGTATCAAATGGTATTTAGAATTTATTTCTATTTATATGCATATATTTATTTGAATAATAATATCTTTCTCAATCATAGATAATTTCCTTTCAAAAGAAGCCTGTTGTGGTACTCACATATTAAATACAAAACACTTAGAAGAATTTTCCATAACAAAATTCCAGAATTTATCAAGAAGTAATATGGTTTTTTATGGTGCAACAGGACATAAAGCAAAAGATGTAATATACGATTAATAATACACTTATTATTATTACTCATAATAATATACGATTTTATAAATTGATTCTTACTTTTAAGGTGCTGGAAAACAGCAAATTGATAGAAAATAAAGTTGAAACACTACAAAAACGCATCACCGAAAACAACACAACAAAATCCTGCATCAATGAATTAAAATCTGAAATAAACAACACTACTCTATCATACGTAACAAAAATGCAATCTCTAGAAATAATAGATGATTAAATAAAATCATCCATCAATTCCAATATCAGAATCTCAAAGATTTCATAGACGTCGAAATGAAAGATGTTATGGATTCTCTAAAAGCAAACAAAGGGTCATTCCTGGTACACAATTTAATATGTGCCTCTTTAATGGAGAACGTTAAATTAGATAAAGTTACTAGATATTGCAAAGATAAACCTGTTATCATATTTTCCTACTCGAATGGTTATGTGAAAGCTAGATGTTGTGTGCCAGAGGTAATAAGTTAGATACATAATTAATTTTCATGTTGTAACATTTTATTTTATATTTCAGGATTGCACAAATGAAAGTTTTAACGCACAAAAATGGTTGAAAATATCTGCTGATATATTTAAAGCTCATGTTGGTCCACCGAAAGGCCAAAATGAAAATTTTATTTGTAATATGAAAGCAAAAAAGATTCTGGAGCCCGAGTGGTATGATTTGTTAGAAAAAGCTGTGGAATTATCGAATGAATATGCTAAAGTACATATTAATAAATAGAAACTGGTAATGAAATAAATTTTAAATAAACCAATTGGTTTATTGTACATATATTTACAAAATGCTTTTTATTATTTTATTTTTCAGAACTTGAAAACCAATTCTATTCAATTTTACATTTATAATTATTTATTTATAACAGTTTATTTAAAGTTTTAAATTTTCGTGAGCCTCTTTTAATTTTCATTTCTATTGTACTTTTAATTTATTTATTTAATATATAAATTAAATAAAAAAATATTTTTACATTCTTTTCAATAATTTTATTATATAAAAGTAAAATACCTTTATAATTTCTTTATTTCTTTGGGTGGCGCTTCAAATCCTAATTCACTAAGTACGCCCGGAACCAACTTCAATAATTCTTCTCTCGTCATTTTAAAATCATTTTCAGCCCAAGTCTTCTTCAGGGCATTTAAAACATTTCCCATATATTTTCCAGCAACCAAACCGTGCTGCCTTAAATCATTCCCATTAACCGGAAACTTGGGAAGTTCCCACTTTTCAATTGCATTATAAATTTCATTTTTATTTTGGTATTTAAGTAATTCTAAAACCATAGCTTTGGATTCTAAATACTTCTTTGGACTATTGATTATCAGCATTTGATACAAACTAAAAAAAAATATCAATGTTTAAATATGTAAATTTTATTTAATTATAAATTTACCTATTTGCTTACAAAATAGGATTAGTGCTAGGTATTTCTTCTCTATTTGCTATTATAAAAAGTCCTAAATCTCTTTCAAAAGCTGATAATTTTAAACGATTGTGCAAGTTCATCATTTCTGTTTGATCATGCAAAAGCCCTACAAGTAGTCCTATAGCACGAATACGTTTATCTTTTGACCTACTTCTATCAGCCTCACATACTCTTGTGAATTCTTCTAAATTATATTTTGCTGGTAAACCTAAAAGTTAATAATTAGTAATAGAAAATATTTATGTACCTAAACAGTTCATATTTACCTATATATGTAGCTAAGCCTACAGAAAGCATAGTTTTTGCCAATTCAAAACCCATAGGACCTTCTAATATCTTTTTCAGTTCTACCCAAATACGTTCACCTGATATTCGTTCTAAACCTGCACCATTCTCTCCTATACATTGCAATACAGATGGTTCGTGTGCATCAGGTCTATCACTTATCCTTCCATAAAATCTATAATAATAAATAATTATTATATGTGTATATAATAAATATATAAAGTATGTACCGAAAATAACGTAGTATTCTCAAGTAATCTTCTTTAATCCTTGTCTCTGGACTTCCAACAAACGCTACTCTCTTCTGTTTTAAGTCATCATATCCATAAAAATAATCGTATACAACTCCATCAAAGTCTAATAACAATAAATAATTATAAAGTGAGGAATAAAATATTTAGGAAAATTTGTTGGAATTATCTTTACCTAAAAACATAGAATTGATAGTCAAATCTCGTCTATTAGCATCTAATTTCCAATCAGTTGTAAATTCTACTTCAGCATGCCGTCCATCTGTGACTCTATCTATCCTCAAAGTGGTCACTTCAAAATTTTCTTTATCATTAATTCTAGGTGTTATCGTACCATGTTTCTCACCGTTCATATTTATCATTCTTATATTTTCTGTAGTGAACATATCTTTCATTTGTGTTGGAGTCGCAGTAGTAGCAAAATCTAAGTCTATTGGTTTTTTCCCCATTAGTAAATCCCTTAAATAAAAGAAAAAGATTACCCATATGTATATAAAATTGTATTCCAAGGAATGTATATTTACCTAACGGCTCCACCAGCAATTCTGATGTCATATTTGTATTTTTTAAATAACGAAGATAAAGCTTCTAATTCGGGTGTAAATATAGATTTAAACTCTGGAGAATCCAGTTTTATAACAACTGGATCATCCCGGCACCGAACATCAGTCATTATAGAAGTGTTTTTTATTTTTGCACGAGTTAAATTTTGCTTAAAAAATTAATCAATTTTCAAACAATTATCAAATAAAAGAATTGTTTTGTTAAATAGACTTACTGCTGATTGTTTATGGAAATGTCTGTATAGATTACAACAATATTTAAATTTGAAACGAATTAGCATTATTTCTTGCGCAAATGTTCTAACCAACAAATTTGACATTTGTTAGAAGTGTGATTGTTGTTTAACATGTTCTAATGTTTGGCAACTGATATAAATATAAGTCATAAGTCCTGGTTTATTTTATGACAATAAATGATTGTTTTTTATTAAATAATAATAAATTGTAACATTTAAAAATATGATATTATTATTTAATTTCCTTTTTTCTATTAATTTCAATTAAATATCTTCTATATATTTTGAATTTGGCGCGGTATTACAAGTTGGAAATCACAATTCGTACGTACTTCGTGTCCTACTTCGTGCACCATCATCATCGCCCAAAACAAAAAATAGTATGTTTGCGGCCATTTTGAGTTTTTAGAAGATCTGAAATAAAAATAGTTGTGATTCCGGCTAAAACAATTCATTGGAAAAATTTGAACATCAAACGGGTTTTTAATTCTTCAACAGTATTCAAGGATAATTCAAGTAAGTGGTAGAACTATGGTAAAACTTTGTTCAGCATGAATTTCTATTCGACCCTTGTAACTAGATTATAACAAAGCGAATGCATTGTTGTTTTATATTCTAGTACGCGTTGGAATTTAGACGTTTAGTTATTCCTTTGTCTTTTCCTACAAAAATAAATTCGTTCACATAACAAAAGTAATAAAAAAAATGTCTAAATTGTAACATTTTATATATTCGATTTTTTTAGAATGCAGATTTTTGTCAAAACTTTGACTGGCAAGACTATTACTTTAGAAGTTGAACCTTCAGATACAATTGAAAATGTGAAAGCCAAGATTCAAGATAAGGAAGGCATTCCCCCAGATCAGCAACGATTAATCTTCGCGGGCAAACAATTGGAAGATGGAAGGACTCTATCTGATTACAACATCCAAAAGGAATCAACTTTGCATTTGGTTTTACGTTTAAGAGGTGGTATGCAAATCTTTGTTAAGACTTTAACAGGCAAAACAATAACCTTGGAAGTCGAGCCTTCAGATACAATTGAAAATGTTAAGGCTAAAATCCAAGATAAGGAAGGTATTCCACCAGACCAGCAAAGATTGATCTTCGCTGGAAAACAATTAGAAGATGGACGTACTTTATCTGATTACAACATCCAGAAAGAATCCACACTCCATTTGGTTTTGCGTCTGCGTGGAGGCATGCAGATTTTTGTCAAGACTTTGACTGGTAAGACTATAACTTTAGAAGTAGAGCCTTCAGATACAATTGAAAATGTTAAGGCTAAGATTCAGGATAAAGAAGGCATTCCACCAGACCAGCAAAGATTGATCTTTGCCGGTAAACAATTGGAAGATGGACGTACTTTATCTGATTACAACATTCAGAAAGAATCCACTTTGCACTTGGTTTTGCGCCTGCGTGGAGGCATGCAGATTTTTGTAAAAACCTTGACCGGTAAGACCATTACTTTGGAAGTTGAAGCCTCTGATACCATAGAGAACGTAAAAGCTAAAATCCAAGACAAAGAGGGCATTCCACCAGATCAGCAAAGATTAATCTTTGCTGGTAAACAATTGGAAGACGGCAGGACTTTGTCGGATTATAACATCCAGAAAGAATCCACTTTGCATTTAGTTTTGCGTTTGAGAGGCGGTATGCAAATCTTTGTCAAGACATTAACAGGCAAAACAATAACATTGGAAGTTGAGCCTTCAGACACCATTGAAAACGTCAAATCCAAGATCCAAGACAAGGAAGGAATCCCACCAGACCAACAGAGATTAATCTTTGCCGGTAAACAATTAGAAGATGGACGTACTTTATCTGATTATAACATCCAGAAAGAATCCACTCTCCATTTGGTTTTGCGTCTGCGCGGAGGCATGCAGATTTTTGTCAAGACCCTCACAGGAAAAACTATCACTTTAGAAGTGGAGCCTTCGGATACCATTGAAAATGTTAAAGCCAAGATCCAAGACAAGGAAGGAATCCCACCAGATCAGCAGAGATTGATTTTTGCCGGTAAGCAGTTGGAAGATGGACGTACGTTGTCGGATTACAACATTCAGAAGGAGTCTACATTGCATTTGGTGCTTCGCCTGCGGGGTGGTATGCTATTTTAAATTTTTTGCAGAAAGCTCACTACAACTCAAAACTTTAAGAATAAATTAGCAGTACATTATCTAATATTACAGATGTAAACATTTCTGGAATAAATTTCATTTTACATTAAATTCTTTATGAATTATAAAATTAATAAATTTCAGGTATTTATATATATATATATATATATATATATATATATATATAAATTACTAGGTGTAAATGGCATTTTGCCTTAAAGCAAGTTAATTCTTAATTTAAACAATAAAAAATTATTATATTAATTTGGGTGATTTATAAGTGTACAGAGTTTGTTTATGGCAAGTTATGTGTAAAACTATTGCAGATTATTCAAAATTGTATTTGAAGTTTTTTACATACATACCCGGAATTTTTTTTTCCTAAAAACGCGGCCGATTAGTTAAGATTTTAATTAATTTTTATAATTGAACCACTTTCCATAGGACTATAATATTTTACTATGTTCAATAAGGCCAGAAACTCTCGCTATACAAATTTTCATTAAAATCGTCGAAAAACTTCCAACAATTAATTACGAAGAAACGGCCTATAACCGATCTTTGGCAAAAATTTTTCGATTATTTTTGAATTTTCAAAATCGGGTCAAGATTTTTGGTTATTTTTCACTTTTTTGATAATTCTAATTCTATTTTTTGAATTTGCTCGTCAGTAGAGCCCCTTTTTTGGATCTCATGATTTTCTTTGTCAATAAAGTCCTTTTTTAATTTATAAGAATTTGCTTGTCAGTAGAATCCCTTCTTTGATTTTATGAACTTGTTTGTCAGTAGAGTTTTTTTTTTTATTAATCTCATTAATTTGCTTGCCAATATAGTTCTTTTTTGGTTTTATTAACTTGCTTATTAATTTGCTTGTCAGTAGAGTCCTTTTTTGGATTCCATGATATTTTTGTCAGTAAAGTCCTTTCGTAATTTTTATTTTGCAGGTCAGTAGAGTTCCTTTTTGAGTTAATTTTTTTTAGATTTTATGAATTTGCTAGTCAGTAGAGTCTCTTTCTAGATTTTACGAGTTTGCTCGTCAGTAGAGTCCTTTTTATATTTTATGAGTGCTCCTCAGTAGAGTTCTTTTTTACCTTTCCTTAAGGTAAGTTATAGTAATCGCAAAAAAATCTAAAAAAAAATTATATATCCACGTTTCACTGGTTTCTGAACATTTTAGCATATCTTGGAAAAAATCGATGTATGTGCGCACACAAATTTTTGTCGAACATTTCGGGAACACCGATCAACTGATTTGAATAATTCATTGCGATTGCTAAAAAAAAAATCAAAATTTCCAAAATATTTCAAAATAAATAAACACATTTTTTCCAAAAAAAGTTAATTTTTTCAAAAGTGTAAAAGTTTCCAAAAATTAAATTTTTTTAGAGTTCTAGAAGAAAATTGAATCTTTTTTAAAAAATTAAATTTTTGGTACAGAAAGTTACAGTAATTTGCCTTAAGGCGCGATGCCATACACCACTAGTTGATTTTATAAATTTGCTCATCAGCAGAGTCCCTTGTTTATATTTCATAAATTTGCTCGTCAGTAGAGTTCTTATTTTATTTATATTGTTTTCATAATGTCTCAAATTTTTAAAATCGGTACAGCCGTTTTGGAGGAAAAGTCGACATCGACACATACTTTTTTCAAATTTTTCCATGATTTTTAAAAATAAAAAGAACATTTTTTTACTCTACTTTCCAAAAAAAGAATTTTATTTTCAAAAATTTAAAATTTCTAAAAAATCTATTTTTTTTTTAAATTAAAAAAAAAAATATTTTTTTTTAAAAAAGATGTCATACACGACCAGTTTATTTTATAAATTTGCTCATCAGTAGAGTCCCTTTTTTAGATTTCATGAATTTGCTTGTCAGTAGAGTTCTTTTTATTTTTATTGGTTTCATCTTGTCTTTCGCCAAAACGCGACACATTCTTTTTCCAAATTCGGTCTCATTAGGTTCAGAACAGCTTGAAACGTCGAGAAAACATAAAATTAGCGACATACAAATACACACAAACATACAAATTGACTATTTTATTTACAAAACTAAGCAACAGTTTCTTGTACACTATTTTCACATTGGCTTTTGATTTTTTGTAACAAATATGGAATTTTTTCTCGGTCTCCTAAATTTTTCCAATCGGATATAGAAATCGGTAACACCTTATAGCCTAGGGCTTCCAATGATCGTATCCTTAACTTCACAGTTCCTCTGAGCCTTTGGCAATTTGTTGCATAACAACCATTTGGACAAACTAACAGACAAATTCTGAAAAAAATAAATAAATAGTAATTGATAAAATAAACACATGGCATTTTGTACTTACATTGTACTATCTTCTGGAGCCACAATATCTTCTATAAAAACATTATCTTGGTCCAACGCCGAAGAAATTGGCACGGGTTTACCATTTCTCATAACAATAACGTAATCTATTAATAAAAAAAGAGTGCGCGTAAGGTTCACACGCGAATAAAGTAAAACTTATTTGCTACTGTATAATATGGCATTTAAGTAAAAAATAAATACATCATATAACAATTTGGAATGATGTTTATTAGTAATATGGTAACACCCGCGTTGCACACATTTATTAGTGTCGACCATTATACACATTTATATAATTATAAATTATATATTTATAATAGCATTAAAAATAATTTTGATATTTAAAAATAATAATGTAATTGAAGTCATATATGGCATGATCGGTTTGTCATTGTAATTAGCATTTAGGACTTAAACCTTCATTAGAGAAATGAAGTAATTGCTGATTTATAAATTCTATTAGAGTGGATTATATTAAACAACGCCTAAACAAATATTGTTTTCGCAACTTCACTCATCATGTAATAATTGTGTTTGAATAACTTCATGTAATTAAAATCAACATACATTCATTGACTGCTTGTATTTTTTTACGTTTTCGCTGGCGATATAATCTCATTCTTTAAACAACTGTAATATCTGTCTTGCCTAAGAAATATTTTCTATTTTAATAACTTCAAAAATTTATAAAAACTACGAATAATATAGAAATAATTTCTAATCAATAAACTTACTTTTAGTACAAATGTTTAATTTGTTTTATTATTTTCAAGGAACAGGGTAAAATATTCTTCTGATTCAGGCATTTTTCATTAAATCAAGATTTGTACTACGATGTAACTTTAAAATGTTTATTTATCTATGCCGATTTCTTTGTTGATGCCGGTACGCATACAACGACAGATCTCTATTCACGGACACGACGACTAATCACAATCGACCCGTACAGAAATGATATCATCGAGAGCGAATTACGAATCATTAACACTCGACTCTTATCTTATCTTATCTGCCGTAACGCACTTCCGTTGCATTTGTACGGATTTACACCCTAGTCGCGCCTAAAGAAGTTTTACTTCCAAAATCAAATCAGACATGAATTTTATCATGTTTTGAATGAATGAATGAATGAATTTTATCATTAATCTTACCTATGTAATGTCCCAATTTTGAGTGAACTCCATTTGTAACATATCTCTCGTTTTCCAAAGCATAAATCAAAGCCGTTCTAATCGATGTTACTTCAATAGGTGTATTCTGTAGGGCTATTGCATGTTTTATAATGTCCTGGCTGGGAAAAGGGCCATCGTAACTTGGGCATAAGGTTTTGACTGCTTGGTATAGTTGGAGTATTTGGAAGTGGTCTATCACGTTGAACTCTAAAAATAAAAATAAACTATTGGTGTATGGCTTAAAGAAAATTGCTGAAAATTCACGTACCAAAAATGAAAAACTTATAATTTTTTTTTTTAGAACTCTAAAAAAATTAGATTTTTGATATTTTTAATTTTTTTGAAAAAAAATGACCGTTTTGACTCTACTGACTAGCAAATTCATGAAATCTAAAGAAGGGACTCTACTGACGAGCAAATTTATAAAAACAACTAGTGGTGTAATAGCGTCGTGGTTTAAAGTAAATTGCTGAAACTTCCTGTACCAAAAATTGTTTTTTCTAATTTTTTAGAATCCTAAAAAAAATTAAAATTTCTAAGAAAAAAGTCAATTTTTGTGTTTTTTTAAATTTTCGATAAAATTGACCTCTTTGACTCTACTGACGAGCAAATTCATAAAATCTGAAAAGGAACTCTACTGACAAGTAAACTCATGAAATCTAAAGAAGGGACTCCACTGACGAGCAAATGTATGAAATCAACTAAAGGTGTATGGCATCGTGGCTTAAGGCAAATTGCTGGAACTTCTTGTATCAAAAATTAAGATTTTTAAAAAAGATTCAATTTTCTTTTAAAATTCTGAAAAAAATAGATTTTTGAGATTTTTATATTTTTTGGAACAAATTGACCTTTTTAAAAAGTTTGATTTTTTTTTGTTGGCAGGCAAATTGCTGAAACTTTCCGTACAAAAAATCAAGATTTTTAAAAGAGATTAAATTTTCTTTTAAAACTCTGAAAAAATCGATTTTTGATATTTTTAAATTTTTTGAAAAAATTGACCTTTTTAAAAAATTTGTTTTTTAGCTGGCAGGCAAATTGCTGAAACTGAAAAATTACAATTTTTAAAAAGGATTCAATTTTTTTTAAAACTGAAAAATCAATTTTTGATTTTTTTTAATTTTTTGAAAAAAAGACCTTTTTGAAAAATTTGATTTTTTTTTGCTTGCAGACAAATTGCTGAAACTTCCCGTACCAAAAATTAAGATTTTTAAAAAAAGATCCAATTTTGTTTTAAAACTCTGAAAAAATGGATTTTCGAGATTTTTAACATTTTTGAAAAGAATTGATCTTTTTGAAAAATTTTTTTTTTGTTTTACATTTTCCTCTGTATCAGCGAAACCGTTAGACCTGCCTTTCCAAAAATTTCATCAGTTCTTCATTTCGTCAATATAAATATTATATTTTTGAATCATACAAATCGGTTGACTCGTGTTCCCGAAATCGTCGACGAATATTTGTATCCGCACACACACACACATACACATATACACATACATTTTTTCTAAGGTATGCCAAAATGTTCAGAAAGATAAATAAAATTTTATATATCTTTCTGAACATCTTAAAATATGCTAATGATATATAAAAAAATTCATTTTCGTATTTTTTTGCGATTATTATAACTACGGGAAGATAAAAAAAAATAATTTTGAAAAAAAAATGTACAAAAGCAATTATTTCGTCAACAAAAGCAGAAAGATTTTTGAATCATTCAAATCGGATGCTTAGTTGTCTCAAAAACTGCTTCGTGTCTCCAAAACGGCTAGACCCGCCTTTGCCAGAAACTAATCAGCACATCTCCCTATCAATGGAATGTTTTTTAAACCATTCAAATTGGATGCTCCATTCTCTCAAACACTCGATTTCTATTTTCTGCACTCTTTGCTCCATAACTCCAAAACGTCTGGACCTGCCTTTGCCAAAAACTAATGAGCACATCTCCCTATCAATAGGAATCGAATGTGTTTTATACCATATAAATAGGTTGATCCGTGCGCCCGAAAACGTCGATGAAAAATTGTATCCACACATACATACACACATTCTGAGGTATGCCAAAATGTTCAGAAACCTCTGAAACGTAAAGATATGCAAAAACTTTAATAAAATATATAAGGTTAATATTTTATCATACCTCTTGATAAGAACTTTTCCAAAAACGTAGGGCTGAATATTCGTTCTAGTAATTCATGATTGAATATATCCAAAGAGGCCAATTCGGCAGCACATTTGGTCCAAGGCAGTTCGTCCTTTCCACTTATGAAAATGTCGTTTTGCAAAATTGCTGTTTCTATAGTTTCCCAGTGTTTAGTTTTGTAATCTGCTAAACTCAACGCGTTTACAACTGTTATAAAAATACTTGGACGCCCTGCCGAAAGTCTTTCGGGGTTTTCTTCGATTAATTGGCCGACGTAATCCAAAAATGGAATGTTGACGTAGGACTAAAATAATAATAATAATAATAATAATAATAATATATATATAAATATATACTTACCATCCTGTTAAATTTCTTCAACGTCCACATAGCCTCCGTAAAATTGCACTTGTTAACAATATAATAATGAGCAGCTTTGTCAATAAATTCCTCATCGTAGACATTAAAGTTATCGTGCTTGAAACAATTAACAATTTTACTCAAAGTAATTTCAACATCGCTAAAGCTCATGTCCATAATATCCTTTTTCAGGACACTAAACGAGTTCACCAAAAGTCTTTCATAAGACCTTTCAAAATGTTTCATATCACAAAGTGACCAGACGATACTTTTGGCTGCATTTACTGGTAAATCTTGTCCGTGTAGTGTTAAAGCACTCACAATGCTCTGAATGCAGTTGGAAGGCATCGGAAACTTTGAAGCAAATTGTAAATAGTCTAGTAATTCATTTACATTTTCATGATTTACAACTTTTTGTATTTGCAATTGGAATACTAAAGGAAAGGCTATGAGTAAAGCTTCGACTAAAGGTGTGGTGTCTTTAAGTTTTCTTAATAAAAAGTCTAAGAATATAACTTGGGGTAATGTTAACTCATTCACAGAACTTCTAACTAATTGAAGTAAAGATTGTATTATTGTACTGTTGCCTGGGACGTCCATAAAAATTAGTATTTTCAGGGCTTCAACAGTATCATTGATTTCCATGGCACGACATTCTTGCTTCAGTTTTTTACACAACAATGAAAAGTTTTCGTTTTCAAGTAAATTTTGATCACTAAAAATAGTAATAGAATCATAATTTATACAAAAGTGTGTATGCAGTGTAAAGTTTAGTAAAGTTTAATTACCATCCTTGTTTTTGCAAACTAAACAGTATTTTTAAAGTTTGCATTACGTGATTGCTTTTAAATTGAGGCAAGTGCGGGGAAATTGTTTCTAAGACTTGTCCAGGATTTGAAGCCATTTTTAAGTCTTGGGTTACATTGTCTATACTTACTACTGTATTACGAGCACCTGAAATGTAATATAAATCCTTTATTAATTTAAGAAGGTGAATTTTTAAACTTGCAACTCTTCTGAGTTTCTCATATTTTTTGAAAATAATGTGAAAACTTAAATTTGGGAATGAGGCTAGTTATATTAAAGAGAGGTCTATAAAGAAGATTTTCCAAAAATTTCAAGTAAATTGGTCTAGTAGAACTTAAAAATTTGAATTGAAAAAGCCAGTTTTGAGAAAAAGGTATTTAAAGGAAGGAAACAGAAGAAGATTATCATGGTCAAACAGCTGCATCTCCAAAAATAATTTAAATTAAAAAAATCCTCTTGTACATATATTCTTAAATAGTTAAGCCTAACTACTAACTTAATTAGTTAAAAATATGAATAAAAAAAAGCGAGTTCTGGTATTTCAACACCCTTAAGGAGAAGTTTAGTAAAACCTGCATTGTGAATTTATATTTCATTTTGCAAGTTAATAAATAATAAATCTATTACCTCTGGCTAAATTTATATGTCCCTCTGCAATTCTTATTATCCTGGTCATATGAATCTTCCTGCGATTCAAAATCAAATTTGCAAAATTCATATTTGAAAATACGCGCGTCGGAAACATCACGTCAGTCCCTGCAGATGGCAGCTAAAATGTCCTGACAGCCAGAACTGAAAATGACAGGCAAAATTTTGTAATAAATAGTAGACAATAATTAGCATAACGTAATATCAGATAGTGATTCTACAGTTTTAATTATTTGTGAGTGACAGTCGATTAATTAATATCGTAGTTAATTGTGCAATTGATTAAAAGATGAGCGACATGGAATCGAGCGATGGTAATAGTTCACAGCAGAGCAGAATCGAAAAATTAGGCTTTAAACCCCAGAAAGAGATAATTTATAACAGACTTTTACCTTATTGGGATGAACTGGACGATGAATCGCAGGTATTATTAAGTGACATCAAGGAAAACTTGGCTAAGGCGATACTTAATCGTGAAATGCGGCCAGGGGTCTGTGTATGGACATCTCGATTGATTAGGTAAATAATTAACACCACAATAAATGCACAATTATATTCATTTAATATGTAAGCGAAATGCCTAATTATATAACTTATATTTTACATAACAAATATTAAATTAAATGTTGTACATGCAAGGCTTTTTGCCAAAAGTGCATGGTTAACCTTAAATCCTGAAGATGGCATTTTTAGGAACGGCGCCAAATTTGAATTCAAAAAAATTCGAATTTGAACTGCGGAAATCGATTTTGCGCGGTAAAGGATGATTGTAATTGATAATTGTAAAATTCCGGTAATTCTACAAGAAATACAAACAGTAACAGAAGATAAATATAAGACTAATATAGGAAAATATAAGATCTGTGTACTATATTTAGAAGAAATGCAAACTTTAAAAGAATACAAATGTAGAAATAACTACTACCTTAAGGCAAATTGCTGTAACTTCCCATACTGTAATTAAATATTTGAGGAATCTAAATAGCTAAATCTCAATTTTTTATCTTTTATCTTGACTTAAGAACACCTAGTTCATCATGTTAATGCTTTTTTTAGTGCTAAAATTTATTATTGATTGTTAATGTTTCTGCTATAACAATGCTCTGTTTATTATTTACCTTTCAGATATATTAAAATATATGGATTGAAATTTTCCAAAGAGGATCATGTTGCTTTCATTCATTTGATATTCGAGCTGTGCACGATACCGAAATTAGATCCTACAAAAATTTCGAAGTTCAGTACTCTTCTTACCATGTTATTAAAGTGAGTAATAAAGAAATATTTATAATATATAAATGCTATCATATGATGTGTGATATAATAATAATAATATTTTTATAGAAAAAGAAAAACGTTATCGAGAAACGATTTAGTTTTACCATGGAGGCCTTTGTATAATTTATACTATGATGTTTTAATTAAGTCTGGTGATGAACGACAAATGTATAGATATTTCTCGTAAGTAACTTGTACTTGTCTCAAGTATGTATGCGTGTACAAATGCGTGTATGATTTAATAACTATTAATTTATTTACAAGCAGCAAGTTATACTAGCAAGTTCAGGAAGTTTCAAGTATTATGTAAGTTTGTTGTTTATTATACTATGTGTCGTAACATGTGCTCTATTTTATTAATGGATACATTATTTTTCCTTATGTAATACTTGAAAATTCTGTTTGAGCACTAATTTAATTTCTAGTATTTTAATTTGTAGTTGAATTATTATGTATATAATTGTAGGCCTGAAAAGAAAGCAGACGCTCAGCCAAATGGACTGCAGGCTTTGGTTGCGAAGTATTTTGGTTTGGATTTTGATATATTCCACACGGTCCAAAAAGAAGAACTGTAATTAAACTCAAATTTAACACAAAAGATAATCAACAAGCTTACATTTATGGGCGTATTCTCGGTCAAAAAGCTTACATGAGCGTTTTTTTTAAACTAACCTCCAAATAGTACAAATGTTAAAATATCATTCAAGCATATTATATCAATGTTATCCCCTTAGTGTTGTAACTGAGAATAGACCCTAAATTAAAACTTATTTGTTTACAATGAGCTTGTTAAGTATATTTTGTGCTAAAAGTACGCTTTTATTATCATTTTTTGAAAGATTTTTATTACATAGGTGACTGGTTGGTTGGTTCAAGGTGTTAGTTTCATGGCACATGGATTGTTCATTATATAATAATCATACATTGGGTTTAATTGTAATACTTTTGTACTACATTTAGTCCCAATTTTCAACTTGAAACATTTTTTGTCATATGCAAAATTTTTACTTGTATTTTTAATCAATATTTTCCATTTACAGGAATTTGGCGCAAAGTTTGAAAACCATGATAATTCTGTGTAAGCAGTAAGTATCACAATCTATTAAAAGACTCAAAATTTTTATGTATATATCATTTTTTTGCTGTTTAGTTATTTTGCCAAAGAAGCTACAAGGGAAATTCTAGATGAACTCATTCCGTTGATGTGTCCATTCGATTTAAGAACAATTGAAGAAACAATGGACCTTTTAACCATGTTTCTTCCAACAAGTCTTCCCATTGAATTAAGCCACATTGGACACGAACTCTGGTTCAAGAATTTAATGGATTTGTGGGATAATTCCAACTATGAACACTTCTGGGGAATGGTAATAATAATCACATTATTATAATGTAATTAGTTTACCATATTTTATTATTTCCAGGATGTTCTGCAACTGATGTCTTACCTAGCGATGCACCATATAGGCCACATAGACTGGGAGCCGTACATACCGATGATATTTTCAAGAATTTTACGTAGTTTTGGTTTGCCTGTCGCTTTTAAACAAGTTCCAAATATGAAAAGACATGCTTACGAAGCCAACCATATTGCTTCTTGGATCGTTTCAGTTCTCGGTCCAAAAAGCTCAGGCCAAAAACACTTGGACAACTTCATATCTGCGATTGAGACTTACTTGTATCCTGCAAACAGTGGAAGTATGTGATAAACAATATTTTTTTTACCCGTGTTGACTTTCATACCAAGCAAGATATAAATTTTTTCCCCAGGTTGGGTCTACAGTTTACGTTCAGTGGTTTCAAAACTGCCTCAATTATTCATAGAACGTGTAGCCCGCGAACGTTACAACCAACAATTCTGGGAAAATCCAATCCCCGAAGAACACAAGTTGACCGATGAAGATATCTTAAAATTTGTAGAGTGTTTGAAGCCCATAGCAATGCAGACGATGTTCTCGTCCATGGCTTCCAATGACCAGACATCGATGGTGCAGAGTTTGGCACTTCTTTGTCCAAGTGTTATGATTCCTCCGATTATTGAGAGGATGTATGCCAGTTTGGATTCTTTGACGGAGCCTCATAAGTTGACTTCTTGTATGATTAGTTTGGTATCGGTGGCTAGACCTTTGGTGGATGGTTTTAGGAATGGATATAAGGAAGGACCTACGCATATTTTGCCGCTGCTTTATGCTACATTACCAGGTAATAAAGGACAAATTAATATTTTATTATTTAAATACCTGCGATATAAAATTACATATAAAATGTACAAGCATTTTGCTCGCGACGTTGTACAATTTTTGTTGTATGATTTTTTTTGTGATGTTTTTGTTCCAAAAGTTCATTTCATCAATTTTTTGTTCCCAAAGTTAAAAATTGGTATATGCAGTTTTGTATAGAATTGTATAAGCTATTTTTTTAAGCTTTATTTTTTTGCATATTTTAAACAAAAACCTCAAAAGCGTACTTGTTACTGTACTTGTGCTTGTATTTTGTTCGTCGAGTTATACGATTTTAAACTTTGACGATTTTTTTCGTCATGTTTTTGTTCCAAAAGTTAAAAAATGGTGAATGCAGTTGTGTAGAGAATAATATGCACTTTTTATCTGTATATAACACATTTCAAGTGTTTGAACAAGTTTTTGTACATTTTTAACAAAAACCCCAAAAGCGTACCAACATTTAGTTCGCCAAGTTATACGATTTTAAAGTTAAACCGCATTTTTCGTTATGTATTTGTTCCAAAAGTAGAAAATTCGTACATGCAATTGAGTAGAGAATTTTATAAGCTTTTTATTTTATTAGATGAATGCAGTTTTGTAGAGAATTTTATGCCCTTTTTATCTGTATATGATAAAATACAAGTTTTAAACAAAAACCCCAAAAGCGTACCAACATTTCGTTCACCAAGTTATACGATTTTAAACTTTGACGATTTTTTTCGTCATGTTTTTGTTCCAAAAGTTAGAAATTAGTAAATGCAGTTGGATAGACAATTTTATAAGCTTTTTATCTGCATATAACACATTTCAAGTGTTATAACAAATTTTGCACATTTTAAATTTTTAAAAGTACAAACATTTTGCTCGCTATGTTATACGGATTTAAAGTTAGACGATTTTTTTCGTCATATGTTTGTTCCAGAAGTTAGAAATTGGTAAACGCAATTGCATAGACAATTTTATAAGCTTTGTATCCATATAAAATAAAATACATGTATCTTAACAATTTTTTTTTTAATTTGAAAATTTGCTTTATTTGACTTAAATACATACATTGATTTTTACATAAAGATACAAATTGTATACACCTATTCTGGGAATATCATTATACTATCATAATATAATATTGTTTGCATATATATATATATATATATATATATATATATATATATTTGTTTCAATTAGCTTATATAAGTATGAAAAGAGCTATTAAAAACATACTGCCTTGAAACGTACTGCCATACTGCCGTATCTTAACAAATTTTTGCACGTTTTAAACAAATACCCCAAAATTGTACCAACATTTCGTTCGCCAAGTTATACGATGTTTAAAGTTTGACGACTTTTTTCGTCATGTTTTTATTCCAGAAGTTGGAAATTGGTTAAAGCAGATTTGTAGAGAATTTTATAAGCTTTTTATCCATATAAAATAAAATACATGTACCTTAACAAGTTTTTGCACGTTTTAAACAAAAATCCTAAAAGCTTACCAACATTTCGCTCGCCAAGTTATACGATTTCAAAGTTTGACGACTTTTTCCGTCATGTTTTCGTTCCAAAAGTTGAAAATTGGTAAATGCAGTTTTATAGAGAATTTTATAAGCTCAATATGTTCATAAAATAAAATTTATATTTTAACGTTTTCACTAAAATATATCTCAATTCTCAACTTGTCTTAAGGCAAAATGGCACTTACACTCAGTCCTTTACCCCAACAGGTATAGATGCCAACGACTTCAAGAAATCTCTGGTTACATCACATTTTATTTCAATTTTTGCAATGATGATACCATTTGTGGATTCCTCTCAAGCCTTTCAATACCACAAAAATCTAACCGAGGAGGAACATGCATTGTGCGAAGCCACTGCCGGATTTCAAGACTTTGTTTTGCAATATTTAGATAGGGTAAATAGTAGAACAAATAACTGATTATAAAATACTAGGATTTTAAAATATTTTTTCTATTCTAGATATTTTTACTAATCGAATCTAGTACTTTTGAATCTACTCGCATGGAACAGAATGATACTGATACTGTTCGTAGTCGACTCGAATCAGCTTCTGAGATGACACATGCTTCTACAACGGCTATATTACTTATTCAGTGCTCTCCGGAAATTTATAAGGTGAGATAATTTTAATTTAATTGTTAATAACACATTAATGATGTGCCAATTTGAATCGGACTTTACTTGATTTGAATAGGATTTTACTTAATCGGAATTTATTTGATTCAATCAGGAGTTTATATTTTTCCAATAGGATTTTATTTGATTCGAATCGGACTTTATTTGATTCTAATTGGATTTTATAGATTCAAATTGGATGTTATTAGATTCTAATCGGATTTTACTTGTAATCTGTTTGAAAAAGTTGTAAATTGCCTGAAAATCTTGTGAATTATCGGAAAATGCTGTAGATAGATTCAAAATAAAAGGTTGTCAAATATCTCCCTTCCGCCTTTTTGTATTATAAACCAAGAGGGAGATATTTGACAACCTAATATTGTGAATTATCCAAAATTGGGAGAGTTTCCATCAGAATTTTTACTTGATTCGAATAGGATTTTATTTAATTCTAATAGGTTTTTGATAGATTCCAATTGGATTTTTTGATTCTAATCGGAATGTACTTGATTCGAATTAGACTTCATTTGATTCGAATCGAATTTTACTTGTAATCTATCTGAAAATGTTGTAAATTATATATAAAACGTACAAGCATTTTGCTCGTAATGCTATTCAATTTTAAAGTTTGACGATTTTTTTCGTCATGATTTTGTTCCAAAACTTGAAAATCGGTAAATGCAGTTCTGTAGAGAATTTTATGCACTTTTTATCTATATATAATAAAATTTAAGTTATTTAACAAGTTTTTGCTCATTTTGAACAAATGCCAAAAAACGTACAGCAATTTCATTTGCAATATTATACAATTTTAAAGTTTGACGATTTTTTTCGTCATGTATTTGTTCCAAAACTTGATAATCGGTAAATGCAGTTTTGTAGAGAAGTTTATAAGCTTTTTACGTACATAAAATATCAGAAAGCACGAACATTTTGTTTGCAAATCCATACAATTTTCAAACATGATAATTTTTTTCAAAATGTTTTTGTTCCAAAATTTGAAAATCGGTGAGTGACGCATTGAAGAGAATTTTATAAGCTTTTTATCTGTATATAATAAATTTCAAGTGCTCTGACAAGTTTTTGCGTATTTTAAATAAATGCCAAAGAAACGTACAACAATGTTATATAATTTTAAAGTTTTACGGATTTTTTTGTCATGTTTTTGTTTCAAAACTTAAAAATTGGTAAATGCAGTTTTGTAGAGAATTCTATAAGTTTTTTAGCTGTATATAACAAATTTTTAGTGTTCTAACAAGTTTTTGCACATTTTAAACTATTGTCGAAAAACTTACAGACATTATGTTAGTTATATATTCATTCGAATTTTTATCCGAATCGGCACATTACTAACTATTACCATTATTACTATTTCAATTCCTTTGTGTCTATTTCCTCCAGGATGCTTTGCGAAAATTATTTTCATTCGCAACAACAAAGCGTTTTGAGATCAAAGTTTCCGGGCAGTTCATGGCATCAATTTGCAAAACGTTCTCCATTATCAACGGAGAAGAAACTTTAAAACTATTTGTGCCTTATTTAATTCAATCTATAAACGAAAAATTTGCTGAACATGAAAACATTCAAACCGAAGAAACCATTGACATGGAATGTTTGTACCACATGCAATTATTAGGAGCTGTCCTGGACACAAATGGTACCTGCATTCTGCCTTATTTAAAAGATGTCCTAGCAATTCTTGATGTGGGTTTACATATGGCATGCAGGGATGCTTCGAGTTCTTCAGCTCATATTTTGAGAGTCATTTTATCCAATTTGACGAATATTTTGATATTGGATTTTAAAAGTAGTCTCAACATCCACAAACCGATCAGTGAGTACTTGTCCATTCGAGAATGGGGCTACAGGCCTGATGATATCATGGATGCTAATTTAAACTGGCATGTGCCAAATGATGATGAAATCAAAGCTGCCAAGGAAATTGTTTTGAGATATCTACCCAAAGAACTCGAGGATATTGAAAGGTATTCAAATGGTGACTTGGAGTTGAAACGACAGGATTTGCTGAAGAAACTGAGTGTTATCATGGAAATTCTGACTGGGGCTTCTTTGATATTCCCGATTTGGGAGGAGAAGGCTCTTGATTTGTAAGTAATAATAATATTAGACCACTGCACCTACACGACTCTACACAAAATTTTTTGTTTGCTTAGATATACCATTTATTCATATAAGTGGACTTGTCACTGATTTTTTGGCAAAGTTTTTGTTCCAAAAGTGGAAAGTTGGTAAATGTAATTGTGTAAAGACTTTTATAAGGTTTTTATCTATATAAAATAATATTTATGTATTTGAACAAGTTTTTGCACATTTTAAACTATTGTCAAAAACGTACAGGCATTTTGTTTGAAAAGTTAGATGATTTCAAAGTTCGACGATTTTTTTTTTTGAAATATTTTCTTCCAAAAGTTCATTATTAGTAAATACAGTTGTTGAGAGAATTTTATGAACTTTATATATATATCAAATAATATTTATGTATTTGAACAAGTTTTTGCACATTTTTAGCAAATATCAGAAAATATACAGATATTTTGTTTGCAAATTCATACGCTTTTGAAATTTGACGATTTTTTTCGCAAAATTTTTGTTCCAAAGTTGAAAATTGATAAATGCAGTTGTGTGGAGAATTTTGTAAGCTTTTAAACGGAATAAAATAAAATTTATGTATCTTAACAAGTTTTTGCACATTTTAAGCAAATTGTAAAAAAAAACGTACCAACAATTGTTATTAATCATTTTCCTTCAGGAAGTTATTAATATAGCAACTAGCGACCACTGCACCTCCACGACCCTACACAAAAAATAAATTTTAAACTTAGTTGCTAATACACATTAATAATAACAGGTAAAAGTATTTTTTTTTATCCAGGGTGGAAAGTGTGTTACCCCAAAAGGACTTTGTGACGTGCACTGGAGCAAAACACGAATTGCATTTACCAAATGGTGAAAATATACGAAAGGCAATAATACGATGTCTTGATAAATTGCAGAAGAAGCTTTTGGACAACTCTGCTGACGACATCAAATCTTTGATAGCCTTAAGCTCCGTAAATCTCTTATTAATACATAATAAATTTAATATATCCTTTACCATATGTCTATTTTCTTTTTAGATATGGGAGACGGTGTTGTTCCGGAAGCCTCGTTTTGGACACATCGATAATTTGCAGCGTAATTTTAAAATAATGAAAAGGATTTTGTATGATAAGTTGACCGATAAGAAAAGACATACCAGGCATATGATTGTGGAAAGGACTCGTATGCAACATGAATTCAGATTGGAATCTGATCAGCAGAAATTGACTGCTACTCATTCTTTGGTTCTGCACAATTTGCTGGAACTTAGCACCAGCTATTACAGCAGCGTAAGTAGAAATAATAAAATAAGTTCATTTTTTAAATTTATAATCTGAACTTGTTGGCAAACATAAAAAAGTAGATGTATATGTGTGTGTGTGTTTGTGTATAGATGTATGTATGTGCGGATACAATTTTTTGTTGGCGAAACGTTAGAAAATGTATAAACTTTTAAGCGATTTTCAAGTTCAACGATTTTTTTCGCACAGTTTTTGTTCTAAAAGTTGAAAATGCATAAATGGAATTGTATGGAGAATTTTATAAGCTTTTTATCTGTATAAAATAAAATTTATGCAATTTAACAAGTTTTTGCACATTTTAAACAAATTAAAAAGACGTGCAAGCACTTTGTTAGCAAAGTTATTCGATTTTCAAGTTTAACAATTTTTTTTAGTCAAGTTTTTGTTCCAAAAGTTGAAAATTGGTAAATCCATTTGCATAGAGAATTTTATAAGCTTTTTATCTGTGTAAAAAAATATATGTTTGCTAACCAGTTTTTGCACATTTTAAAAAAATGCACAAACATTTCTTTTGCTAAGTTCTACGATTTTAAAGTTTAACGATTTTTTCATAAAGTTTTTGTTCCAAAACTTGGAAATTGGTAAATGCAATTGTGTAAAGGATTTTATGAGCTTTGAAACTGTATAAAATAATATATATATATTTTCTAACAAGTTTTTGCACATTTTAAACAAAAGCCCTAAAAGCGTATTTGTTACTAAACTTGTACTTGTATTTTGTTCGCTCAGTTATACGATTTTAATGTTTGACGATTTTTTCCCCAAAGTTTTTGTTAATTAAAGTAAAATTTATGTATTTTAACAAGTTTTTGCACACTTTTAACAAATATCAGAAAATGTACAAACTTTTCGTTCGCTAAGATATACGATTTTCTATTTCAACGATTTTTTTCACAAACTTCGTTCTAAAACTTGAAAATTGGTAAATGCAGTTATGTAGAGAATTTTATAAGCTTTATATCTATATAAACTAAAATTTATGTATTTTAAGAAATTTTTGCACATTTTAAACAAACGCCAAAAACTTTCCCACTTTGAACACTTTCCCAGAGTTCATTGATTTTTTCCCAAAGTTTTTGTTCCAAAAGTTGAAAATGCATAAATGCAATTATGTAGAGAATTTTATAAACTTTTAAACTGTATAAAATTAAATGTATGTATCCCAACAAATATTTGCACATTTGTTGCCAAAAGCGTGCAACATTTGTATTACGTTTTTAATAATCTATTTGAATAAATATTTATTGATCATTTATTATTTATCATATTTTTGTAGGTAAGAAAACATGCTCAATCTCAATTCCTGAAAGTCTTATCCACAATACCATATTCTTATATAGATATATTGCCGAAGTTAGTCGAATATTTATCCATCGACAGTACTGAACAGCACGAAAAATTCAAGGTACAAAATAATACAAATATAAATTACCGAATATTATTTTTAGTTACTAATTATTTATTTTTATTCAAGGGCGTTTTGTATTTACTAATATTGATGAAACACAGATCTCTAATTTGCAAATTTGATTGGAATGTAGTATCACAATTGTGGCCAGCTTTACTTAAATCAAAACCGTCTGAGAAACCTTCAATTGTTGGGTAAGGTAAAAGATACATAAATGCTTTAAATATCACTTAATACTTGTTTTAATTTTTTCCAGACTCATCGATACTTGTAAAGACATTGTGCACAAATATTTTCCAACAATTATACTTACTGTAGAGTTTCCCAAAGCTTTAATAACATCCGCAGAGAATTTATTAAAATTGAGTTCTGGTCAAGGTGCAGGAGATGGTCTTATTAAATTTCCAGATGAAAATGCGAGTTTGGAATATTGTCGGAAAATCAACGAAGCAAATCTCAGGACATATCACAAACTACTTGATGATATTCTTACTGTTATACAAAACCCCAATGTGTAAGTATAATATATTAAATTTCACACAAACTATTTTTTGTACAAACATTTCGTTGGCCAAGTTATATGATTTTAAGTTTGACGATTTTTTTGGTCATGTTTTTGTTTCAAAAGTTGAAAATTGGTAAATGCAGTTGTGTAGAGAATTTTATAAGCTTGTTATCGGTATAAAATAAAATTTGTGTATTTTAAGAAATTTTTGCACATTTTCAACAAATGCCAAAAAACGTACAGACATTTTGTTTGAAAAGTTAGATGATTTCAAAGTTTAATGATTTTTTTCCTAAAGTTTTTGTTCCAAAAGTTGAAAATTGGTAAATGCAGTTGTGTAGAGAATTTTATAAGATTTTTGTCTATATAAATTAAAATATATGTATTTTAAGATTTACAAGTTCACTGATTTTTAGGCAAAGTTTTTGTTCCAAAAGTTGAAAATTGGTAAATGCAGTTATGTAAAGACTTTTATAAAGTTTTCATCTATATAAAATAATATTTGAACAAGTTTTTGCACATTTTGCACATTTTTCATCAAAGTTTGAGAAAATATTACAGTCAAAATTTGTGTCAAAAGATGCTTTTATTAAAATCAATTATTAACATTATTTTATCAATTTATTAAAATTTAAAATAATAAGCTACAATTTTAGGACGTGTCTGTGCAATATAATCAATACAATTACAGTTAATTTAAATGTGTTTGAGAAAATTCTATTTGAAATCACAATGTTCAGATTTAATTGATAGCGATAACTTTATTTCTGAAATAAACAGTAGACTAATTTTATCTAAATATCCAAATCTCAATTTCGATTGATTGAGTCAATTCTTTCACATTTCGGGAAGTTCATGCAACTTGCCTCAAAGCTAAATGCCACTTTCATCTAGTTTTTGTTTTTTCTTTTACATTTGTTTTTTCTTTTAGCCATTGGAGGTATGTCAATACTGGTCTATCGATGGCACGTGACTTGGGTCATTTCGATCCTGGTGCAAAATATTCTGCAAAATGCGTCAGGTTTTTCCTGCACGAATTGATCTGTGGTGTCCTGGAAAGACGAAAAATTGCCATTCGACTTATGAATTTAGTTATGCAACAACATAAACGCAAACACAAGATTGTTGAAGTTGATAAAACACAATTAATCGAGTCTGGACAGGATCAGAAAAATTGCAACGATGATGTAATGGAAATTACAAGTTGGGGTGAGATAAATTACTTTTACATAATATTTATTTCTACATCTATATTATTTTTTTCTACATCTATCTTTTATCTATTAGGTTTAAGACCAGACAACTCCTGGTTGTGTTACAACAGTACAAATATTCCCAAATGTGAAAAAGAATGGAACGATATGCGAGTTCTCAAGAATCCGTCCATGGGCTATACTAAATGGCCTAAGGTTTTAAAAATTTATGCACCATTATCTGAACAGCCTAATCCTGATCGTACCAGGGATGAACTTAATGATGTTGAACGAGAGATATATGACTTTTTTATGGATAAAGAGAATATGGACAAGCTTGTAAAGTATTTGTCGATAGAAGATAAGAAGGGACAGGATAAATTTAATAGCCATCGATTTTTATTCTTCAAGGTAAGGGGTAAAAGAATCATACATACGAGGTGTGTTCAAAAAGTACCCGGAATTACTAATAATTAAATTTCGCGGGTCTGGAGTGTCTGATTGTCAAAATTTTTTTTTTATTGTGTTGGTATACATGCCCCTAAAGTATGATGAAATTTTCAGCTATATTCACTGTTTACTTTGTCTGTGGTAGTCGCTAAGGTTCGACGTGTTTTTCTGAGCTCGGCGATTTTTACAATGGAAGAATTGAAAAGTCAAAGAATTTGTATTAAATTTTGCGTAAAAAATGAAATAAAGTGTTGCAAAGTGCAAAAATTCACCAGATATGGCTCCGTGTGACTTTTTCCTATTCCCAAAGTTGAAGAGACCCATGAAAGGACGGCGGTTTTCCTCGATTGAAGAAAATCGCCGAGAGTGCTCAAGGACATATCAAAAAGTGAATATCAAGGGTGCTTCGAAAATTGGAAAAAACGCTGGCATAAGTGTATTATATCTGGGGGGGACTACTTTGAAGGGGACCACATTAATGTAGACGAATAAATAAATATTTTTTTGAAAAAACGAAAATTCCGGGTACTTTTTGAACAGACCTCGTACATACATATATATGTATATATATATATAGATATATTGTTTTATTGTTTAATGATGAAAGATTTTATTGTTTAATGATGAAATATTTATTTGAAACAAATTAAAAGCAATAAATAATTAACTATTTTTTATGTACGTTTTGACACTGTATGTGTGTCATCATTCAGCAGGTCGAACAAATTCTAAATAATATTTTAAAAAGTTTAAAAAAAAGCACGATTACTAGAAACCAGGAAGAAAATAACTTTAAAATCATATGGTTTTGCAAGCAAAATGTTTGTACTTTTTTGACATTTGTTTAAAATGTGTAAAAACTTGTTAAAACACATAAATTTTATTTGCTATTGATAAAAAGTTTATAAAAATCTTCACATAACTGCATTTACCACTCTTCAACAAAAATATTTTGAAAAAAATCATCAAACTTGAACATCGTATAACTTGGCGAACGGAATGTTTGTATGCTTTTGAAGATTTTGTTTAAAATTTGCAAAAACTTATTAAAATACATAAATTTTATTTTATATCAATAAAAAGCTTATACAATTTTTCATACAACTGCATTTACTAATTTTCAACTTTTGGTACAGAAACATTTTGAAAAAATCGTCGAACTTGAAAATCGTATGGATTTGTAAATGAAATGTAGTACGCTTTTGGGGTTTTTGTTTAAATTGTGTAAAAACTTGTTAAAATAGATAAATTTTATTTTAAATAGTTAAAAAGCTTATAACATTCTCTAAACAACAGCATTTACCACTTTTCAACTTTTGGAACAAAAACATTTTGAAAAAAATCGTCAAACTTTAAAATCGTATAGATTTGCAAACAAAATATTTGTACATCTTTTACCAATACTTCATTCATATATCACTTATCTTTTTAGAGTTTATTTAGAGACTTCGGTACAGCATTTTTGGACCAAGTCGTTGACCATTTAGAAAAATTAGTTGTATCAACAGAAGAGAGCCACCAAAGGGCTGGTTCTGAAATGTTATCAGGGCTGATCAAAGGGTCTAAACATTGGTCATTTAGTATGGTGGAACGGTTGAAGGAAAAAGTCTTGCCTATTATACAAAACGCTTTGAATTCTACCATGCCAGAAACTATAATGGATTGGAGTAAGATAATTGAATAGGAATAATAATTACAATTGTAATTTGTGAGAATTAATAAGATTTTTTTTGCTTTTGTAGGTGTATGTTTTGCAACTGCTGCACATGACCCGAGAAAACAATATTGGTTGATCGAGACGTTGATGGATAATCCGTTGAGGTAATATATATTTGTTTATACTTGTGTTATATATATATATATATATATATATATATATATATATATTAGGTTGTCAAATATCTCCCTTCCGCCTTTTTGTATTATAAACCAAGAGCAAAAAAGCGGAAGGGAGATATTTGACAACCTAATATATATATAAATATATATATTAATACAAAATTAAATAATTAATTTCTTGAAAGAGAAGTTTTGTTTGAGATATTTTGTTTGCAATGTAATCGTGTAAGATTTTCAAATTCAATGATTATTTTAGCAATGTTTTTGTACCAAAAGTTGTAAATTGGTCAATGCAATTATGTAAAGAATTTTATAAGCTTTTTTTCATATAAAATAAACCAAATGTATTTTAACAAGTTTTTGCACATTTTTAACAAATACTAGAAAACGATTTTTTTATTTTAAATCTAACGATTTTTTTCTCAATTTTTTTGTTCCAAAAGTTAAAAATTGGTAAATGCAGTTGGGTAAAGTATTTTATAAACTTTTCAAATACCTAATATAAAATTTATTTATTAACTTCCCGAAGGAGAAGTTTATGTTTTCATCAAAAAATCCGATTCGCTAATTTTATGTTTTCTCGACGTTTCAAGCCATTCTGAATCGAATGAGACCAAATTTGGAAAAAGTGTGTGTGTGTGTGTGTGCGTGTGCACCAACAGATTTTTTGCCGTAAATCGCCGTTTTCTCGAAAACGGCTGGACCGATTTCAAAAATTTAAAAGCCATTCGATGTATCTCGATGAGGACTATTATTTGTCAGCTTTGTGCGACGATCGGCCAAGCCCTTTCTTCGTAAATAGCAGAGAAGTGAAAAGTTTTTCGTCCACGTTTTAGCCCGCAATTCTGAATCGATTTTAAAAATTCAAAAATCGTTCGAAAGATATTGGTTGGAAATCGACCTGATTATTTTTTGGTAGAGATCGGCCGGGCCGTTTTCTTGTAATAAAGTTTTTAAAAAAAAAAATTCTACGATTTTTATGATTATTTTTTTGACGGTAGATACCATAGTCTTCTATATCATACTAAAATATTACGGCCCTACGACAACTGGTTCAGCTTTAAAAATTCGTCAAAGTTTGCAAAAATTGGTATCGTTTTTTTGGCATTTGTCAAAATTAGACTTTTGATCGACGTTTTCTCAAAAACGCCTGAACCGATTTTAGAAATTTAAAAGCCATTTGATGTATGTCGGTGAGGACTATCGTTTGTCAGTTTTGTGTGACAATCTGCCAAGCCGTTTCTTTGCAATTTGAAAAAAAGTGTTAAACTTTTCGTCCACATTTAAGCTCATCCTATCGAACCGATTTTAAAAAATCAAAAACTGTTCGAAAGATATTAGTTGGGAATGGTACTGATTAATTTTAGGTGAAAATCTACCGAGCCGTTTTCTTGTAATTAACTGTTGAAAAAAAAATTTAAGCCGTTTTTCATGGAACTTTTTTTGGCGATATACATCATGGTCTTATAGAACTTGCTGTAATATTACGGCCTTACAACAAGTAGTTTAATTTTAAAAATTCGTCAAACTTTGCTAAAATTTTTATCGTTTTTTTTAAAGTAGGATTGATGAAGTATATTACTTACTCATTTTTTTTTGATTAAGTCGATTATTTACACATATCGGGAAGTTCATGTAACTTGCCTCAAGGCTAAATACCAAACAACTAGTTTAAACAAGTGTTTGCACATTTTAAACAAATACCCAAAAAGTGTACAAACATTTTGTTTTCAAATCTATACAATTTTTAAGTTTGACGATTTTTGTTCCAAAATTTGAAAGTTGGTAAACGCAATTTAGTAGATAATTTTATAAGCTTTTTATCTATATAAAATAATCTATATGTATTTAAACAACTATTTACGAATTAAATATGAAATGTAAAAAAAAGTAACGGACATTTTAAGTATAACATAAACCAATTTTGACTTCACGATATTTTTGTTAAAAAAATTAATACACACTTGTAGAAAATTAAATATTACTAATTATAATTTTGATTTATCATTTAATAATGTGTTTTATTATCTTTTTACAGAAATAGTTCATCACATATCGACTGTGGAAGATTGTACGTTTTACAAGGTGTTCTGCATCAACATTTATGGAAATCTTCAGAATCTTTAAGAAAATTATTAGAGTACATAAAACCACACTTGAGTCACCAATTTCAAAATGTACGCGAACGTATATCCAGGTAAAAAAATAATACAACATTCTATATCATATTTACTACCATTAACATATTTACTAAAGTTTTATATCCTTTCCAGTCTTTTAGTAAATGTGATGGACTGCGATTCAACAATATCCAACCTTCAAGACATAGTTTCTCCGAAGATGTCTGAAATCATTGACTTTGTTTTGCCACAATTTAAAATATTGCAAGAGTCGAATGAAACAAATGGTGGTGTTAAAAATTGCACGAATAATTCTCGTGTCGATGTAGTAAATGATTTGAACAGTCTCAGTTTAATCGATGGTGATCGAGCTGTTGCAATTAGATTGTTGAAAACAGGTAAATGGTAATGGATATATGTATATATATATATATATATATATATATATATATATATATTACCACTCATAATTGTTTTCTTACCATTTTAGTTCTGAAGTGGTTAACAGTGGCTTTCCACATATCTCAATATCCAGCTCGTGAATCCTTCTACAAACTTTTACCAATTGCTTGTCGATTGGAAAACAGTGAGCAAGACTCCGAATTGGCAACATATTGTGGCAACTTCATCAGTTCTTTGGCACAAGCCTATCATCCTTCGTATATGTTGAATGAAGCTTTGCATTCAATAGAAAATGTAAGTAGAGATATTTTTTATATAACTTAAAGGTCTGTGGGTAAAAGTGTTTGTCGACATAATTTCAAAATCAAGTAAAGTACGGTGTTTTATAGCGATGCTATTTTAAAGTAGGGGGCAAAATATGTGCAACCAGACATTAAATTGGATTATTTCTTAACTTGGGCGACGATGATATCACGAGATAAGTGACTACATTGTTAGTTTAACAACATTAACAATGTTTTTTTCCTAGTTATGGTTTTGAGCACTGTTGTTTAGTTTAGTTTAAGATACTTTAAAATCATTTTTATGGATACTTCATTTAAATATTTTTTAATATCTATCGTTAAATTCGATTTAGATTCAAGTTTTTTTCAAAGAAATATCAAATTTACCAAATTTTTGCTCATTTTAAATTATAGTTAAAAAACGTACTAACATTTCGTTCTCTGATTTATACGATTTTAAAGTTTGACAATTTTTTTTGCAATGTTTTTGTTCCAAAAGTTGAAAATTGGCAAAAACAGTTGTTTAAAGGATTTTATAAGCTTTTTATAAATATTTTTATTAATATTTTTACAAATTCTTGCACATTTTTAACAAATTTCAGAAAACGTACAAACATTTAGTCCGCAAATCCATACAATTTTGAAGTTCGACGATTTTTTTCATCATGTTTTTGTCTCAAAAGTTGAAAATTAGCAGAAGCAGTGGCTTAAAGAATTTTATAAGCTTTTTATACAAATGAATTAATTTATAAGTGTTTTAACAAGCTTTTGCACATTCTAAACAAAGTACAAAGCTTTTGTTTGCAAAGTTATATAAGAGAGTTAAGATTTTAAAGTTTGACCATTTTTTTCACAACGTTTTTGTTCCAAAAGTTAAAAAATTGTGAATGCAGTTTTGTAGAGAATTTTATAAGCTTTTTATCTATATGAAATAAAATGTATGTATAAAGTTTTTGCACATTTTTAACAAATGCCCGAAAAAGTACAAACATTTTCTTTGCAAAGTTATGCGATTGTAAAGTTTGACGATTTTTTTCGTCATGTTTTTGTTCCAAAAGTTGAAAATTAGTAAATGCAGTTGTGTAGAGAGTTTTATAAGCCTTTTATCTATATAAAATAAAATAATTTATAAGTATTTCAACAAATTTTTGCACATTTTTAACTATTGTCAAAAAACATACAAACATTTTATCTGCAAGTTCATATTATTTTGAAGTCCAATGATTTTTTGTATGTGTTTTTGTATGTGTTTTAACAAGTTTTCGGCTACATTGCCAAATTATTAACAAATTATTCTTGTTGCTAGATTTTGAGCACTGTTGTTTAGTTTACGATACCTCAATATAATTTATTTGTTTTGTGAGATATATTGTTATTTTCAAGTTAGATTCAAAAGTTGAAAAGAACCAGATCACAAATTTTTGAAAAATAGCTATAAAACATAAATTATCTGGTTGATAACACTGTTTGATATGTGTTATCTAATACTTTAATATATATTTATTATTTCAGATAACTTCTACCGGTGTATGGTGGTCCAGATGCAATGCTTTAGATTTTATGCAAGTTATGGTTTTCCATAACATGTCTTCACTTCTTTGCGAAGTTGATCATGTCAGAAAAGTTCTAAATATTGTCTTAAGTTTACTCGAGGATTCCAGGTTGGAAGTACGTGAAAAGGCTGGACAAGTTTTGTGCGGGTTATTGCACTGCAACTTTATTTTGGAACAGGAACAATTATTGGTAAGGAGGATAAAAGACACAAATTCTTGACTTTCAAATAAATTACAATTTATTACTGTTATCTATTATTACTGTGTCTATTATTTTTTAGGATAATTTTAAAATGAAGTCCAAGACTAAGTTGCGCAAAATTCGGGAAAGAGCAGGAACTAAAAATGCAGCTGCAGATAATATGGAAACTGTGAGCACAGGATTTAGTCCTCATTGGGAAGGAATGTCTGTAAGGACTCGTCACACGGCTGTTCTAGGAATGTGTGCCTTTATATCTGCTTATCCTTACGATGTGCCTGATTTTATGCCAGATGTATTCGCCCAATTGGGAGTACACCTGAATGACCCTGAACCCATTCCAGTAAGTATGAAAGACAAGTATAAAAGACAAGTTTCATACTTAATCCATGTATTAATTTATTTCTTTTCCCCAGTCTACAATTAGAAAAACACTAGGTGATTTCAAACGAACACATCACGATAATTGGGAAACACACAAATTGAAATTCACAGACGAACAATTGACAGTACTCGGTGAATTGGTTGTTCCTCCCTCTTATTATGTATAACAGGTAAGTAATATTCATAATACTTATTAATTTATTTATACTAGTTTTGGTAAAAACTCCAAATTTATTTTTCAGTACCTGATATTAGATCTATTATTTAATAAAAGACATATTAATTATAATAGTTTAATTTAATGCATACTTATAATATAATCAGGTTGTTGATGGTGATTTTTGTGTAAGGTGTTATGTTTAGATTGTTTTTATAATATATTATTGTACTTTATTAAAATGTAACGAAAGGATAAAGGAGTTTTTTTTTACTATATATTTTTATGTATATATATGATATTGAACTTCGTTATATTAACGCGGTTTTAACAGCTACATTTCTTGCAATTCTTATATATTTTGTAAAAACTTACTAGAATACTTTTATTTTATTTTATATAAATCAAGAGCTTATAAAATTCTCAACTTAATTGCATTTACCAATTTACAATTTTTGGAACAAAAACATGACGCAAAAAATCGTCAAACTTTTAAATCGTATAACCTTGCAAACAAAATGTTTGTACGCTTTTGAGGTTTTTGTTTAAAATGTGCAAGAACTTGTTAAAATACATAAATTTTATTTTATTCAGTTTATTTGGGGTATATTTTTAATAATTTACAGAAAGTTAGGTTAGGTACTAAAATTTAAATAAATTCAAATCGCTTGTTGGAGATGTGTTCAAGAGATGATAAATTAAAAGATAAAAAAATATTTTATCATATAAATGACACATTTTGCCCAATATTTAATATAATCACTGTAAAATATTTGATTATATAAAATTAATATTAAATTAATTAAATAAATAATAGATATTTGAAATGAAATAAACTTCACTCCAATCTTTTTAAATTTAAATTTAACTTTTTTATTGTTTTATAGACATTATATATAATCTAGCACATTACCATTTATTTTTCATAATTAATTAAATTATTATATATATGTTTATATATATATATATATATATATATATATATATTTAAAAATTTACAAAAAGTTGAGTACTAAAATTTAAATAATCCGTTAATCCGTTATTGGAGCTTGCAATCCGTTATTGCAAATATGTTCAAGTGATAAAATAAAAGATAAAAAAATTATTTTATCATAAAATGACACATTTTAGCGAATATTTAATAAATTTACTGCAAAATATTTGATTGATTAATTAAATTAATTAAATAATACAATTGAATTGAAATTCAACCAACTTCACTTCAATTTTTTTAAATTTTATTCAACTAACTTCACGTCAATTTTTTGAAATGAGTTTTGTATTATTTTATTTAATTGTAACATTTTCCATTATACATAATTAATTAAATTAATCATACATATGTCGTTATTATTTATAAAGTTATTTTATAATATTATATAAATATTAATTTATATTATTTTTTTTAATGTTAGTCACATTGCAAAACGTTGACTAATAATTCAATATGGCGGTTCGTTCGTAATATAAATGCTGACAGGTATTTTTATTCAGTGTTTTTATGCCGAAAATAACGTTATTTAGTCCTTGCAGTCGCACTAAAGTATTTCTGTTGATAAGTGAATAGTTATGTAACAGTATTTCTTTATAAAAATGTCTTTTATAAGTGTTTTTGTAGTGGGTTTGTGACAAGACGTCGAACACTTGGGTAAGTCTTTTGATTTTACTGTTCTTAGAATAAAATATGGATAAATTTAACATAGATAGCGCAAATTTAATATGATAACATGATAATATTTTTACATAGTATATAAACTCAATTTTGGTTTCAAATAAAAACCCTTAATATTTACCTGTGACAGGTTAATTTTGAGTAGAATAATTTGGGTTCTGTAATTTTAATTATTCCTACTAACTATTATCACAATTATATATTTTATTGCACGAAAGTATATATATATATATATATATATATATATATATATATATAATTCATAGTTTTTAATAAAATATATACGAACTATATATATACAAAAATATATATATATACAAAATCAACGACCTGTAATAAATTATAAATCATTTTCATGTTTATATTTTTATTATCGCGTCACAATTGTGACTCACAGCCTTATGTAAATTTATTTAGAATTAAAATACTAATTAATATGCATACAAGATAACGTTTGAATTAAACAATTCGTCTACTTTTCATACTGATATATATATATATATATATATATATATATATATATATTGATTTTTTGTTCTTTGCATTTTTTGTTTTTTGAATTTGTTGATTTTTTGTTTTTTGAATTTCTCGTTTTTTGCAATTTTTATTTTCTAGATTTTTTGCTATTACATTTTTCTGATTTTCTTTTTTTTTTGAAGTTTTGATCTTTTGGATTTTTGAATTTTCATTTTTTGTTTTTTGGATTTTTTTCTGGATTTTTTGTTTTATAAATTTTTTGAATTTTTTGATTTTTGAATGTTGAATTTGTTGATTTTTTTGGATTTCTTGTTTTTTTGATTTTTCCGGATTTTTGTTTTTTTCAATTTTTGATTTTTTTGTTTTTTTTTTAGATTTTTGTTTTTTTTGGATTCCTTGTTTTTTTGATTTTTTTTTCTGGATTTTTTGTTTTCTTAATTTTTTTTTATTTTTTGGATTTTTTGTTTTTCGGATTTATTGTTTTTTGGACTTCTGAATTTTTAGATTTTGTTTTTTGAATTTTGAATTTCTTGATTTTTTTATTTTTTGGATTTCTCGTTATTATATATATTTGATTCGCTAGAAATTGATTAGAAATACCTATGCCGGGTCAGCTAGTATATATACATATATATATATATACATATATATATATATATATATATATATATATATACACATATATATATACAGATAAAAATATGAAACATCTCTTATTATTTTATATATTTATTTCAACATAATAAATACAATCAGGAATGAATGAGACGATAAATATAATAAAATGAATATAAATATTATTGTTCAAAATAATCAATCAATGATTGGTACGTACTTGAAGTAGCAAACAAACAAGATTTAAATATACAATTGAAAATATATAAGTACACAAAATCGGCTGTAAAAAATATTCCCTATTAATTTTATCAAAATACTTTAGTAATTGTGTTTTAAACACTGATTGTATATAAGCTAAAATTGTTCGAATTCAATATAATTGATCTAACGGTGTAGGCCTATTAAAGTTTGAACTTAACAAATGGCAAAAATACTTCCGGCTTAAATAATATCTTATATTATTTTAAGCGTGTGGCTAACTTTCTTCCAATAGTGGTAACTAATGTAATTATATATATTAATTAAGTATATAATAATTGTTTTTATACTCTGCTCAATGTGTTAAATTTATGAGATCGCTTTGATCATTAATTAAAAAATGGTGCACAAAATTCGATTTTTGTCTATCAGACTTCGGTTGTACTGTCGAACCACTTTTTGGAGTGTCTCTTAAGAAAATTGTACCAAACAAAGTTGCTGAGGAAAAAATAGATAATAAATGATTAGGTATTCATTCATATGAATACATATTTCATTTATCCCTTACCTAAGGTTTTAGAATCCGATTCGTTTTCTTTGGCATATTGCAAAAGTTCTTGTAAAAATGCACACATATACAGAAAAACATTTTTTCTAAGTTCTGGCAAACGCATTATCAATTGCAGACTTTGCGAATAACTATGTGAGCAATTTAAAGCTGCCCCATGCATTCCGTAAGGAATAACCGGTTCACTTGAGCTGTCCAGCAAAAGTAGCAAAGCTTCGGCTACTGAATGGACACTGCCAGCTATTTGATACATCATAGTTAAGGAAAATTGGTTTTCAAGGACATTAATTGATTGTAAATTAGAAAGGATACGTAAAGGTTGCAATGAACCATTATCCAACCACTCTCGAATTGCTATGAGTTCACTTGGTAAACATCTTTCTTCAAACAGTCGTGGTTGTCTTAAACCGTAACGGTATAAATGGTCCACCAGGAACCAGATTTCTTTTGGTATGAAGTAACTGCCTTTACTTGGTGTCGAGGACTCCTAAATAAGAGAAAAGATAAATTATAAATGAAATCTTGTTTTAATTTTCTAAGAAATTTAAGTATTTTTGCGCTTTAAATGCAATCGATAATTCACTATAAATTTAATTTGAAGTATTTTTTATCTAACTTGTAGATAAATAATTTATCTGCAATTTTGTCTAACATTATAATTTTGTATATGCATTTGTTTTATATCAAAATTACTGTAAAACTTGAAAAATGGTTTAAAAATATATTTTTGTAACTTTTATTATCCAATCAAAACGTTTCTAACGACACTGCAATCCCATTGGTTAATCTGTTCAAGGCACGACCAATAGGCATTCACTTTACGTCATTAGGGAAAGTCGTTGTTATTAGGAAACAGATTAGAAACCAATGAGGCGACAGGAAAAATTATTTTAGGAAAAAAATACATCTATTTCATTTAATAAATCATTTCTACTAATTATTCCTTCAAGACTCTGATGCAAATTTTTTTTAATATATCTTATATATAAAAATGGATCGCAAAATGTGTTGGTAAGCGCATAACTCAACAACGCCTAGACCAATTTGGCCAATTCTTTTTTTTAAATGTTTGTTGATGTCCAAGGATGGTTCTTACGGCGAGAAAAAATCGAATAATTGCCGTGAAAACCCTAAAAACAGCCCTTTTCTTTTTTACATACAAACGTTTTCTAACTAAAACGTAGAATCAATTAACGTTTCATATATCATTTTATTCGTAATTTTAATCTGCATCTTTCGTCCGAACAAAGTTTTTTCGTATCTTTCACGGCTTGGATTGTAGAAAACAATTTGTGTGAATATTCAATAGTTCACAGTTTACACTATTCAATATTTCTCTAAAGAAAACAAAGTATTATACATCGTTAGAAAGGTCTCAAAATTCTTAGATCTTTTCCCATATTTCGCAACTTCGAATTCCTAACAGTGTGGCCTACAGGCGAGTTGCAGTAGTAAAATTCAAGGAAAACGAGAAAATCTCGAGAAAATTATATGAACACACTTAACGATTTATATATCATTTTATTCGTAATTTTATTCGGCAAAGTTTATCCAAATAGAATGTTTTCGTTTCTTTTACGGTTTAGTCTGGAGTATGGAATTTGTGTTAATATTCAATTGTTCAAATGCAAAGAACGGTTAGGTTTGAGCAATAAGCTACACTGTTCGATATTTATCTAAAAAACCATATAAATTGTTAGATGGAACTCCAAGTCACAAGGGCAGAAAATGGATTTCTTTTGTTTATTTATTTACTTATTTATTTATTTATTTATTCATTTATTATACGCCAATCGGCTATATACAGTTAATTATTTACAGTTATTTTGCAAAATTAACTTAAAAAATGCACGTTTTAGTCATGGCCTAATATACTATTAACTATATGTGTCTTACTCGAGAGTTAAAAGTACAAACAGTTTAATTAGTTATGCACCTACAGATCTGACAAAAAATATTGTATATCATTAATTGATATATTAACTAGTGGGGTGGGTGGCATCGTGCCTTAAGGCAAATTGCTGGAACTCCCCGTACCGTAACGAAATGTTCGAGGAATATTGAATGTTTTCAAATAGATTATTATAAATATTGTAACATTGTCTAATATTTATAAGAATTATATAAACTGAATTGCAGAGTTGAAATTATTTGTTTAAAGTATATTAGAACTATAGTCAGAATTAAAAATAAAATCTGAATTATTTTCTATATAATAAAAATTAAAAAAAAAAAAAAAAAAAAATGGTACAAAATTTTTTTTTTCCAAAATCAATTATTTTGTTAAGACAAGCAGAAAGTTCTTTGAATCAATTGGATCGGACGCTTAGTTCTCTTAAAAACTGCCATTTTTTGTATATTTAGCTCTGTATCTCCGTAATGGCTGGGCCTGCCTTTGCGAAAAACTAATAAACCCTTCTCCCAATTATTACTAATTGAATGTTTTTTAGATCATTCAAATCGGATGCTCCGTTCTCTCAAAAACTCGATTTCTATTTTCTGCACTCTTTGCTCCTTATCTCCGTAACTGCTGGACCTGTCTTTGCCAAAAACTAATCAGCTCTTCTCCTTATTAATAGGAATCGAATGTTTTTTAAACCATTCAAATCGGTTGATCCGTACGCCCGAAAACGTGGGCGAAAATTTGTATCCATACATACATACACACACACACACACACACACACACACACACACATCCATTTTTTCTGAAGTATGCCAAAACGTTCAGAAACCTTCAAAACGTCGAGAAATGTAAAAAATTTCAATTCCGATTTTCGGCCCATTACAATAACTTACCCTACGGGAAGTTAAAAATAAATTCGTTCAAAAAAATGTTGTGTATAATTATTTATATACAATGTTAATAATCATATTTCGATATTTATCTGTTTGATATATGGTATATGTTGTGATGTAGCTGAATTGGGTTTTACTGTATAATTGAAATTTAAGTGTAAAAATTGTACATACATTTCGGTATAGATTTTAGTGTAAAACATTAATGATTATTTTTAACTAAACGGTAAATACCAGTATAGGTTCTTAAAAAATTGGAGTTTTTAGGCATGGGTACAGGACAACGTCTGTTGGGTCAGCTAGTATATATATATATATATATATATATATAAATATTTATAATTCATTTATCATTTTCCCTTACCAATTCAATAAGATTACTGGGTGTTAATTCCCGTACAGGAACATTGACCTGCACCAAAGCTTCTATAGAAGTCCCAAAACAACTCCTTTGATAATTTCCTGCTATCGTTATAAATATATCTTTACCCTTTTGCAAATGCAAAACTAATATATCGTAAAGTTTATCCTGGCCACAATTTAATTTACAAGCGCTCCTTTTATCAACCATCACAGTCAGACGTACATCACATTTATCACCTGAGAAACAAAATTAAGATTTAATTGATTGATATAATTATAATGGTAATACAATTTTTATACCTGGTTTAATTGTATATGTATACGGGTCTACGTGTAGCCATTCTTTACAAAAACTAGTGTCGTCTAATTTTTTAATAAATTCGAATCTAACATTCACTTGTCCTACATTTGCTATTGTTAATTCTTGACAACGGGGCTCCATGAAGTACAAGTCACCGAAATCTATTTCTGTTCTATCTACAGTTGCCTGAAAAATTAAATTTACAAATTATTTGTTCAAATAGATTTTTTTTAATAAAATTACCTGGGGCAAAAATTCATTTTCTAATTTGTCCAATTGCTTCATAACGTCTTCGTGTGTTTTTCTATATTTTGCTTCGTCAACTACAACCATCTGAAAAGTGGTAAAGAACTAGATGTAAGTGGCATTTTATATTTTATTCTATTTTATTATAAAAAATAATATTTTATAATAGTTTGACTTCATCATTTATAAGTATAGAGAGTTGTTCTAGACAGAGTTTTATACTATTAGTAAATATTATTTTTTAGACAGTTTTCTACTAATTCAGCAATAAAATATAATAAATAAATATACTATTAGTTTTGCACAATTAGTTTAAAAGTTATAAATAATATAAATGATGTGAAATAAATGTTATACATTTTATAAACAAATAATTTTATACATATACTAGCAAACCCGATGAACTCCGTTTCGCCACCAGATGGTTTCGTGAGAAAGATGAAGAAATTTTTTGTTTATTTTATATTTGAAAAGGAAAAATGTGATTTTATTATACAACAGTAATGAATTTATTTCGATTACAAAAATGAAGTGTTTTTTAGTTGAACTTCTCTAAGTAAATGAAAGTGAATCCGCAAATTATCCGTTTCATTGAAGTGCCCTTTGGTAAACCACATTTTTTGTTTTTTGATCTGACGTTAACACAAACAAAGCGGATGGTTTTCCAACTCGTGAACAGGCAACGTATAACTGCCCATGTGCAAAACAATGATTTTTTAAATAATCTATTTAAAATTTATCCCGCAAATACTAAGCGATTGGCCTTGCGACTTGTTATTGCGAACGCAAGGCGAACTGGAAATTGCAATCGTTTGAAGTCAAACGGAAGACCAGTCGGAATCATTGGTATGTCACCAAATCGCCAGCAATTTTTGATTGAATGGTGAAATTCAGTGCGTGTACATCATTATTCTTTGCGGCAAGAATTGCTCGTTGACTTAACCAAGCATAATTCTAATAATTCTCACTAATGTCATTACTCGAATTCTTAATTACGGTGCGTGAAGTTCCAGCAGCTTGCATTAAGGCACGATGCCATGCACAACTAATTTTCTTAGCTATAAACCTTGCGGAGCTCAAGACCTTTCCAACGAATGCAAAATTGTCGAAATCGGTACGTGCGTTCTGGAGTTATTTCGTCAGGAAGGAAAACCCGACTTATTTTTATATATAGAAGATATTAAATGAATTATTAATTAAAAAAAAACAAATATATTTGACAATAAATTTAGTGAATTTACATACGAAAATAATGAATAGCTAGGTGTAAGTGGCATTTTGCCTTAAGGCCAGTTGCATAAACTTTCTAAATTGTGTCTTGATCGATAAAAGTTGAGATCTTTATGTTTAATTCTTTCACAATTTTTATATATATTTTGTAAAAACTTGTTAGAATACATACATTTTGTTATATATATATAAAAAGCTTATAAAATTCTTCACGCACCTGCATTTACCAATTTTCAACTTTTGGAACAAAAATATGACGAAAAAAATCGTCAAACTTTAAAAACGTATAACTTTGCAAGCGAAATGTTTGTAAGCCTTTGGGGTTTTTGTTTAAAATGTGCAAAAACTTGTTGAAATACATATATTTTATTTTATATCGATGAAAAGCTTATAAAATTCTCTACACAACTACATTTACCAATTTTCAACTTTTGGTACAGAAATATGACGAAAAGAATCGTCAAACTTTAAAATCGTATAATTTAGCGAACAAAATACAAGTACTAGTACAGTAACAAGATACATGTAGTTTATTTTATATCGATAAAAAGCTTATAAAATTCTCTACTTAATTGCATTTGCCAATTTTCTATTTTTGGAACAAAAACATGACGAAAAAATCATCAAACTTTAAAATCGAATAACTTGGCATAATACAAGTACATGTATAAAACTTGTTAAATTACATATCTTTTATTTCATATCGATAAAAAGCTTATAAAATTATCTACACAACTACATTTACCAATTTTCAACTTTTAGAACAAAACCATGACGAAAAAAATCGTCAAATTTTCCACTCGTATAACTTGGCGAACGAAATGTTTGTACGCTTTTAGGGTTTTTGTTTAAAATGTGCAAAAACTTGTTAAGATACATGTAGTTTATTTTATATCGATAAAAAGCTTATAAAATTGTTTACTTAATTGCATTTGCCAATTTTCAACTTTTGGAACAAAAACATGACGCAAAAAGTCGTCAAACTTTAACATCGTATAGTTTAGCGTATGAAATGCTTGTACGCTTTTAGTGTTTTTGTTTAAAACGTGCAAAAACTTGTTTAAATACATGTGATTTATTTTATATCGATGAAAAGCTTATAAAATTCTATACACAACTGCATTTACCAATTTTCAATATATATTTTATATATTACAATTCTTACTTGTGATTCAAATAGTGCACTGACAGGCTTATGATCACTACATCTCAACTGCGGGTGACTTCTATAAGCAATTTGTTTAATATCATTGCCTCGCCATAAAATACGATCACACCAGGCTGGAGCCCTATTTTTCTCACTAATAAAAAACCCAGAAAAATAATTACTATTCAAGTCCACAAACCACTTATCCCAAATCCTCATTTTACCTAGAATCCCATTGATCAGTCCCCGGATCATACTTATAAGTAGGTTTAAAGGTAATCTGGCCCTCTTCATAGCCATTAAAAACATTTTTATTAGAATGCTGGACGCGTAATTGATCAGCTTCTAATAAAGTTGAATAGTCTTCTGCTTCTAATAAGATTTTTACATGATCAGGATCCAAATCAGTGATACGATAGTTCAAATCTCCTAGCCAATAGACTTGACTGTTGAATAGACATGAAAATTTATAAATAACTACTTGGTTGTAATAAAAAATATTTTATTATCTTACTCGTGTTGGTCCAGGGTGATATTTTGATTGAACCTCATACGACTGCAAATATCCTTGTAGTCTTGGTTTCGTCTCTCGTATTCCTCAAGATGAGCTGCCAAGTGGCTATTGACAAAACATAAAGTGGTTCTGTGCAATTCTACGTGTAGACCTACTCCTCCTTTGTTGCCCTAAGAAAAAAAAATTATTTGAAGTAAAACTTCTAGAGGGTCCATTGGGAATAGAAAGAGGCAAAGTGAGTGGATGTATTTCAAACATTGTCTGAGAATGTTGTGCAAAAATTTGTTAGAATACATAAATCTTATTTTATAAGGATGAAAAGCTTATAAAATTCTCTACACGACTGTATTTACCAATTTGCAACTTTTGGTACAAAAACATGACGAAAAAATTCGTCAAAATTTGAAATCGTATGACTTTGCAAACAAAATGTTTTGGGGTTTTCGTTTAAAACGTGCAAGAACTTGTTAAAATACATATATATTATATTATATCAACAAAAAGCTTATAAAATTCTCTACACAACTGAATTTACCAATTTTTGAAACAAAAACATGACGAAAAAAAATCGTCAAACTTTAAAATCGTATAACTTGAACGAAATGTTTGTACGCTTTTGGGGTTTTTCTTTAAAATGTGCAAAAATTTGTTAGAATACATAAATTTTATTTGATATTGATGAAAAGCTTAAGAAATTCTCTACATAACTGCATATAACGATTTTCAACACTTAGAACAAAAACATGACGAAAAAAATCGTCAAACTTTAAAATCGTATAACTTGGCGAACGAAACGTTTGTACATTTTTGGGGTTTTTGTTTAAAACGTGCAAAAACTTGTTAAAATATATATATTATATCAATGAAAAGCTTATAAAATTCTCTGCACAACTGCATTTACCAATTTTCTACTTTTGAAACAAAAATATGACGAAAAAAATCGTCAAACTTTAAAATCGTATAACTTGGCGAACGAAACGTTTGTACATTTTTGGGGTTTTTGTTTAAAACGTGCAAAAACTTGTTAAAATATATATATTATATCAATGAAAAGCTTATAAAATTCTCTGCACAACTGCATTTACCAATTTTCTACTTTTGAAACAAAAATATGACGAAAAAAATCGTCAAACTTTAAAATCGTATAACTTCGCGAACGAAACGTTTGTACGTTTTTGGGGTTTTTGTTTAAAACGTGCAAAAACTTGTTAAAATACATATATTATATTATATTATATCAATGAAAAGCTTATAAAATTCTCTACACAACTGCATTTACCAATTTTCTACTTTTGGAACAAAAACATTGAAAAAATCGTCGTTGTAACGTGTCTAAAAACATTATAATTTAATTTCTGCAAAACAAATTTTAATTTCTTCTACACACTATTTTTTTTCTTGTTATTCAATTACCATTTTACCCATTATGCCAGTGCCAACAGTATCCACAAATATTTCTTCTAAAAGTACATGCTGTTTATGTTTTTCCTGAACGGCTAATATCAGCATAATTCCTACCAGCCGTACAACTTTAAGTCTTACATAAACTGCACCGGGATGTAGAGATCGCATTACAGCTGCACTGAAATAGTAAAAGACATTGTAATTAATATATATATATATATATATATATATATATATAATACCTCCATTCTTCTTCTCTGGGGGTATCGTTGAATAGAAAGGCTTCTTTAGATAAATCTAGTTCCTGAAAACCAACCACGTAAACATCAGGGGGCTCCACATCGCTTGCTAACCAGGGTGATAGTGAAACTGGGGGTGGTGGTTGACCGTTTACATTCCATGTACCCACAAATATTCTGATAATATAAAAAAAATATAATTTATAAACTAATTGAATGGGCTTTAAATAAATTAATAAATAAATAACTGAATACGTTCTTTTGTACTTTGTGTTTAAGTGAGAAAATTTTATATTACTTTTGCTCTTCAAATGCTTAATTTGTTCAATTTTCTTTTTACAAAGTGTATTCTTATAGCACGCTTTTAGATATGATATATATTTTATTAATATAGAAAGGGTTTTTTAGAACTTATAAACTAGAAAAAAAATTTATCTTAAGTATTTTTCAGCTAACTTGTAGATAAATAAATTATCTACAATTTTAAATAATATCATAAATTTGTATCTATAATTGTTTTATATTAAAATTACTGTAGAACTTGAAATACGGTTCAAAAATTAATATCATGCATTTTTGTAACTTTTATTATCCAATCAAATCGATTGTAACGAGGCAGCAGTTCTATTGGTTAATTTTTTGTAGCTACGACCAATAGACGTCCATTGTGAAAATCGTTGTTATTATGGAACAGATTATTAACCAATGAGATTATGGGAAAATGTTGCTAAAAAAAAATATATATAAAAAAAAATCGATATTAAGTTAAGAGAAACAAAATTAAAATAAAAAAAGCTGTTGATAAAAAAGTCTAATATTTGTGGAACTATTTATATTATATTTTATTAGAAAATTGCAACGGTTTTTAATTAGATGAATGTTAACTACACAACTAGCATTTCCTTAATCAGTTTTATCTCATTTAAAAATATGTAATATGTCACAAAATTTAAAATATATAATAAAAATATGTAATAAAAAATATATATTACAAAATATAGCAATTTCTTTTTAAATTGAACACAAAACAACGCAATGTCGAAAATCAGTTCTAATTAAGCCTCAAAGCAAGTCCGAAATAAAAAAGCATAACAAGATACACACATAATTTGATATTTCCTATATAAAATATTTATTATATTTCCATTTCTTACGTGTAAGGTTGTTTATAAGTATACTCCTTCTCCTTCATCTGCATATGATATTTAGCAGCCATGTCTCGTGCTATAAAATCAGCCCCCCTGACGATTTGATGCCGAAAAACTGCCAAATCAGGGCTCTCTGGGGACTCACTATAACTTTTCAGCCATTCAAAATTGTCACTGGCACGAAAACCTAAACAATAATAATAATAATACACATTGAATTAAAAACACTATTTAAAAAATTATAGTTTTAAATAAAGTTTATGGTTTTATTTTGCTCTTATGTAAAAACTTTCTGTAAAAAATTCCAATAGATTTTTTATACACATATACATAATATAATGTGTGTCTTAATTAGTATTGAGTAAACTAAAAACTGTTTGGAATTGTTTACGCAACTAATTAGCATCTTAAATTGTTTAAGTAGGGATAGTGGTTGCTTTAATGATTAATTATAAGAAATACTATTTGTGTTAATAGCTTGATGCACAAACAATAAATGTGACTAAAAAATTCTGTGACATCATTTTTATCTCTGATTAATCCTTTGTTTACCTTCTTGAGCTCTGTATATTTCAGAAACAAATTGCCCAGTATCGGTATCAGATTTCACATGTGCTGTAATTTGATACTTTGATACAATGTTTAATATCACCGTCCCATCTGGATGGTCATCTACAATATCAAAACATTCTTGAGAACTTAATCATACCTAGGTGACTCACAATAATATAACAAATACCAATTTTGCATTCGAGTTGTTTGTCGATGGGTACTGCTGTCTGTAAGGTTAGGTCAGAAAAGGACAACGGGGGACTGCGAAGACTTAGGAAAGAAAAACATGCACTGGAGCCTTTGTAGGTGACTAGACTTAGGATTTGATAAGGACTTGCTTGGGACAGGGTTTCTAAAATCTGAGTGTAAGAATTAAGTACAATATAACACATTTGAGGTAGTATATTACATTTTATAAGGATACATTGACAACTACTTCGCCGGCTGTGAATTTTTCTTGAACTATTAACTTGATTGCACAAGAGTCATTCATATTATAATTAATAATCACAAGCAAACATTTTGAACATTATTTTACAGTCGCGTTTGACACTTAAATTATACATGCATAGTGCAGTTTTTTATAATTATCTGAATGTATAGACGATATTTGTGAGTTTTTTATTCATTGATAACAAATATCACGTTTTTTTATTTAATAAGAAGCAAAATTCACACATAAGTCTGATTTGAATTGCCTTGAAGTGACAGATGTCAAATTAAACACAAAGAACCAAAGGTGGAATTTGTAAAGAGGTGCTCCGGATCTAATTTGAGACTTATACAGAATTTTAAGAGAATAAATATATGTATAACAAAATAAGACTTAATTAAATTACGTAAAAATAGTTTAAACTTCAAACACAGTTTTCAGGGCACAAGTTTTGGGAACTGTCAAATGTCAACTGTCAACTTGTGGCAAACTGTCATTAACATTTAAATATTCACTTTTTATTTATTTATACTCTAAATACTTTATACAAACATAGTTTATGCACATTATTATTAGCGTTAAATATATTATGTATATAAATATATTTCTATATATAAATATATAAAATTAAATTCAACACATATATTTGCAAACACAACATAACCTACAAATTTTTTATTTCAGATATTGAACAAATACTTCCCGAAATTTAAAACTATACTAACAACAAAACACTTATATATTATTAGTTTAATGTGGAATCTAAAACTATAATACATAATTTATTATATATTATTTAATATTATTATATTTTATTAATGGCTTGAAGTTGGTGCAAACAAGTTTTGTTTGCTGTCAACTTTGGACATAACTGTCACCCGGCATTTAAATATTTAATTTTTATATATTTTTACTATAATTACTTTATATATCAGCAATTAATGTGATTTATAATCAAACTTTATACATAATTGTGCAACATGGACGTAACTCGTGAAAGTAAGTTTAAAACTCAAATTTACAAACCAAACATAACCTACAAAATTTTGTATAACTTAAATTTTTATATTTATTTTAGATTTCGAACAATTACTTCCGAGTATCCAAAACGATATCGACAAAGCTACTTTTATATCAATTGATGGCGAATTCACAGGCGTCACATCCTATACAGAATTGACACCTTTTGATACATTAACCGAGTACTATACAAAATTCAGAACCGGTTCAAAAGACCACTTACTAATCCAACTAGGACTGTCTATATTCACATACGACGATGATACCAAGTCTTATCGAAACAAATGTTATAACTTATATGCTTTTCCAAAGCCTCACAGTCGACAGGCTGCTAATTTTAGTTTTTTAAGTCAGACCTCTTCAATGATCTTTCTTGCGGAACAAGGTTTTGATTTTAACAAACTGTTTAGATATGGTATTCCTTATTTGACAAAGGATGAGGAGTCTTATCTTTATGAGCAAATGGAGGAGAAAAATAAATTGCGGGAGGCAGGGAATTTGAATGAACAGAATCATATATCTGTACCTGATAATGATAAAGAATTTGTGGACAAAATCAGGTATAATAATTGATAATTGAAAGTAATAATTGATAATTGAAAGTAATAATTGATAATTGAAATTTATTTATTGAAATTAATATAATTAATATCTTTTTCTGTGATTTCAGTAAAAATGTTGAAGAATTTTTGGAGTCTGAAGAAAACGAATTAATACTTGATCGGTGTAATTCATTTTTGAGACGATTGCTGTATCAAGAGCTTGAAGCAAGATTTAAAAATAAGGTAATAAAACATTCCTATATATATATATATATATATATATATATATATGTATATATGTATACTGTATTATTTAATACATTTTTTCCTATTTCAGTTATTTTTAGAAACACGAACATTAGAAAATCACAATGCAGTTCTCGTAGTACAAAAGGCTTTAACGCCAGAACAATTAGCTGAAAAAGAAGCTCAACGAAAAGAACGTGAGCAATGTGAATTAAAAGAAAGTGTTGGGTTAAGTCGGTTGATTCAATATCTTTCTCAAAGTGTATGTATAATATTTCAGTAAATATAAAATTCAAATTTCAGTAAATATATAATTTATATATTTTTAGGGAAAACTAATAGTTGGTCACAATATGCTTCTGGACATCATGCATATAATAAAACAATTTTTTGGACCTCTTCCTGAAGATTATCAAGATTTTAAAGATTTGGTACATGATTTGTTCCCAAGGTAACATAAAAATTTTATTCATAGCAAATTATATATTATTAATTATGCAAATTATATTTTAGAATAGTTGATACAAAAGTTTTATCAAACGCACCAGTATTCAAAGATAAAATCAACTCAAGTGTTTTGGGACACTTGTTAGCAACTTGTTCAGAGGAGCCTTTTAAAATTCCTACAATAGGCAAGTATACAATACTCCAAACCAATTTTATAATTTATTTTTATTACTTTAATTAATAATTATTATATTTTTCACAGAACAGGATAACAAAGAGTTCGGTTACAAAGATAACGAGAGCAAAGAGCACGAGGCTGCCTATGATGCTTTCATCACTGGCAAATGTTTTTTAAGTATGGTTAATTATTTAAAAAATACTGAAGATGAAAATTGGAGTTTTGATTTAGAAGTTATATCACCGTTTATAAATGCTATACACTTGATGCGATTACACGACATTCCGTATATGAAATTAAACGGCAAAGACGGTGCGTAATAAAAAAAATTGTAATTAATAATATTTTATATTTATATGTTTTTATTTATTCCAGTTGTTCCTTCACGAAATCATGTGTTCCATGTGACTTTTCCCAAAGAATGGAAAACTACAGATGTTTCTCAGTTGTTTAGTGCATACGGTAAAAAACTTAATTTCCTTTTCAATTGCTAAATAAATGTCTACAATTTTTAAATTTTTTTATAGGAACTGTCCAAGTATTTTGGCTGACAGATGGAACTGCTTTTGTAGCTTTGCACAGGAAAGAAAATGCTTCTGCAGCTTTAAAAGCATTTTCCAAAAACACTTCAACAAATTATAAAGTGCAATCGTATTATCAGTACAGAGGATTAAATCAAGGACCGGATTTAAATAACACACCAAAGGTAAAAAATTAAATAAATACACTTGTCGGTGTTTAGTCTAATTTTTCTTTATTTTCCAGAATCACAAAGTGGATTTGAAAGCAGGCAGTCATTTGTCATCGAAGGATGAAGTTTTGTGCAAAGTTGGACAAAAGAGGCGTTTACCATCAGAGTTCGTATTTTTACCAATTTTTTTATTCGTTGTTTTTATTGTGTTTCAATGTGATATTGTACCGTTTTCTTGAATGTTTTATTTTTATATGATATTTTATTTATTTGTGCGTTGTTGTTATTTCATAATTTTAATAGATTTTTTTTATGATTTTATTTTTATACATTATTTCCATGGGGAAATATATATATATATATATATATATATATATATGTATGTATATATGTATATATATATATTAGATGGTAAAGTCTTGGAATTGTAAATATTTTGTAGAGCTTCGAACAAAGAATCCAAAAAGTATTGAAAAAAACAAAAAGTTTTTAGAAAAACCACATCTTTATTTATTTATTGTCGACGTTTCGGAACTAGGTACGTTTCATCCTCAGGACATCATTTTTGATAAGAAAAGTAGAAAATGGTGAATTTTTATAGATACAATGAATAATTATTATCTCTTCCACAATCTTATTCATTTTATATAATAATCCACCATTTTCTACTTTCTTCATCATTATAGTGATAGTCTATATAAAAAAATGTTTTTGACAGAAAAAACCTTATGATGGAACGTATCTAATTCCGAAACGTCGTAATTAAACATCTACAAAAACAAATTGTTTTTTTCTTTTTCTTTATTGGATTTATTGTTCGGAAAATATCAATTTATTAAAAAAATCCAGAACTTGTTTATCAAATATATATATATATATATATATATATATATATATATATATATATATATGCAGGGTATCCCAGAACTCAACGTCAAGCAAAAACGGGGTGATATATTGACCTTAATTGTCTTGACAAAAATTAAAAAAATTTTTTTTTTGGAAATTATGAGCTTTCAAGTGCAACCTAGAGCTTTAGTGAATTTATGACAATTTTTCGGTTATCATGGGTAATTTTTACTAATTTTGTTCACTTAAGCGGGAAATATTTCAACTGATTGTGAGTAAAATGTACTAAGAAAAATCATGTTAATTTTAGATTTTTATTTTTTCACTCGAAACTTTCAATAAAAAGTTATCAAGTATTTTACCACTTTACAATCCTGATTAAATACGCCAACTTTTGATAAATCTTGCCTACACACTTTAGTACATTTTTTTTAAAGGATGACCTCCCAAAGTGGATCAATTTTGAAAATTTTAAATTTATACTTTAACAAAAAGTCTTGATTCTTGAAAAGTTGGGGCAATAGTGTCATTATTTTTGACCGTGGTTTTAGAAATGTTATTCACGAATACAGATGCAAATTTTGAATTAATAAAATAAATAAATATTAACCACAAAAATTGTCAATAATTTCACCACAGCTCTAGTTTGCACTTACAAAGCTCTTAATTTTCGGCCTACGTATAATATTTTTTTATTACTTTATTTTGGCCCGACGTTGAGTTCTGGGACACCTCTCCGTTTGTGTATTTATATTTATCTAGTTGAATTTAGTAATTTAGTTGATTTCCTTTGGCTTTAGTGCGTAAAGGTGTCATTGTCCATTAGTTAATCCGGCAAACGAAGTGCGGAACCAATTTATTTCAACATTCTCCTTTATAATTGTCTGCCAACTCGATGCAGATGCCTGTATATCAAATATTTCTCATTTTATGAAAACATTTACACACATAGACACACACACACATTTATAAATAGGCGGCAAACAATTCTAATACCAAGCGGACTTACTTATTAATAGCATTTATGTTGAGTTAAGCGAGTGCACTTTTTTGACAAAACTGCATTTTGCAAAAAATATTATATGAAAGTATAAAAAACAAGTAACGACGTTAAATAGACAATATAATTCTCAATAAACTGATGTATAATAATATATACATCATTTAACAAAAATTACGCGAAATTTAGCTTGCAAAATGCACATTTGCATTTAATTCGATTTTAGGCTCGATTCTATCTAAGAATGAATTCAGCGCGTGCACTTTTTTGATAAAACTGCATCATTTTGCAAAAAATATTATATGAAAGTATAAAAAACAAGTAACGACGTTAAATAGACAATACAATTTTCAATAAACTGATGTATAATAATATATACATCATTTAACAATATTCACGCTAAATTTAGCTTGCAAAATGCAAATTTGCATTTAATTCGATTTTAGGCTCGATTCTATCTAAGAATGAATTCAACTTTTTTGATAAAACTGCATTTTGCTAAGAAAATTTATATTAAAGTATAAAAAACAATCAATGACGTTATATGGACAATACAATTCTCAATAAACTGATGTATAATAATATATACATCATTTAACAAAATTTACGCTAAATTTAGCTTGCAAAATGCAGATTTGCGTTTAATTCGATCTCAGGCACGATTCTATCTATGAATGAGTTCAGCGAGTGCACTTTTTTGACGAAACTGCATTTTGCAAAAAATATTATATGAAAGTATAAAAAACAATCAATGACGTTATATGGACAATACAATTCTCAATAAACTGATGTATAATAATATATACATCATTTAACAAAATTTACGCTAAATTTAGCTTGCAAAATGCAGATTTGCGTTTAATTCGATCTCAGGCACGATTCTATCTATGAATGAGTTCAGCGAGTGCACTTTTTTGACGAAACTGCATTTTGCAAAAAATATTATATGAAAGTATAAAAAACAAGTAACGACGTTAAATAGACAATACAATTCTCAATAAACTGATGTATAATAATATATACATCATTTAACAAAAATTACGCTAAATTTAGCTTGCAAAATGCAGATTTGCGTTTAATTCGATCTCAGGCACGATTCTATCTATGAATGGGCTCAGCGCGTGCACTTTTTTGATAAAACAGTATTTAGTTAAGAAAATTTATATAAAAGTATAAAAAACAATTAAAAACGATAAATAGACAATAAAATTTTCGATAAACTGATATATAATAATATATACATTCTTTAACAAATTTTACGATAATTTTAGCTTTTAAAATGCAGATTTACATTTAAGTAGATCTCAGACACGACTTTATCTATGAATGAGTTCAGCGAATGCACTTTTATGTCAAAATTGCATGTTGCTAAGAAAATTTATATGAAAATATAGAAAACAATTAATGACGTTAAATAAAGAATAAAATTTTGATTAATCTGATATATTACAATATATACATCTTTTAACAAAATTTCTGAAAACTCTAGCATAATAATGTTATAGTAGGAATTTTACCGGATTACAACCAAGGCACTTCTATTAATTATGAATGAATAGTAACAAACTGACGATTTTTTCATATTTTCATTTTGCCAAAAACATTTTCCTGGAAAACTCTTACTTACTCAAAGCTCGTATTACCAATTTTGCTCTGAAATCGAAGCAGCAAAACGCTTTTTTGGCGACTCAGAACACTCGTAAGTCGGGGTACCACTGTATATGAATACTAATGAATATATTCATGAAAATTAGTTGCAAATTTGTATAATTATAATGATATTGATACGTATTAAAAATGAATTTAGTATATATTTCTCATAAATCTGTTAGCAAATTTATCAATTTTAGTATCTAAAAATCTTGTCACTTAAATATATCTTTTTCTTCTACTGGCTCTTGGACTATATGAGTCTATTATCTCTCCATTCGGCGGCAAATTGCCGCAAAAGTGTATGTAAATATTTTTACCTCGATCCTTTATCCATTTTTTTTGCGATTTTTGCTGTTAGCCGTTGACTGGACAACGTGTTCCGTCATCTGGGAACAAGTTGTCTGTTTTAGTGATGAAACAACAAGGTTGTTGTATATATAAAGTATTAAGTTACCTTGTTGCAGAAAACATGGTAGAACACAAATTGGAAATCGCGGTACTTGACAGAGCTTGGTAACATTTTAATAATATACACATACATAAATTCTACTTCAATAATATAATAATTTTAGTAACTAGTGGTGTATGGCACCGTGTCTTAAGGCAAATTGCTGGAACTTCCCATACCGTAATGAAATGTTAAGTGTTTTCAAATAGATTCTTATAAATACTGTAACTTTGTTCATTATTCGTATATAGACGAAGTATAAGAGCTTATGAACTAGACGTCGAAGTTTATACATGTTTACACGAAAAATAAATAAACAAAACCTAATCAAGCCGAGTTCGAATGAACAACCTTATCTAAGTTTATTAAAATCGTGTCTTATGGTGATTACGTAATCTACAGACGTTATTTTTACAAAATATGAAATACCAAAGAATAGAAATCTATATTAGATGATTTTTTTTTTAATTACAATATTTGTTACTACTGCTAAATAATAATGAACAATAGCATAAATAACAAGTAACAATAATGAACAATAACATAAATTTAAATAAAAAAGAGTACAAAATAAAGGATAGTATTTACATTAGAATGATATCCATATTATGATAATTTAATATAAAATAAAAGCGAATTATAATAATAACAAAATTGATAAATAAAATAAATAAAATTTGTGAATAATAAAAATAATACTAGAAAAACAATAAGTGACAGATAATAATAAATTTAATAGAATAACAATATTAAAAATGATAAGATAATAATGATAATAATAATAATATTGATATTAATGTTAGCGTTTAAAATCACTTTTAAATTTAACACATTTTTTCTCATATATTTTTTAATAATAATAAAAAAATAAATTTTATATTTTAAATTTGACACCAATAATATTATGAACTTTTGTTTAAAAATAATTTTATTTTATTTTTTGACAGTACACTAGATATATATCATTTATTTTTTATTATACTTCATAACTAAACACAAATAATTTACCCTAGATTTTGCGTTTGCACGTTAACCTAAAACAAGGCGTCGTTCCAGGTTGCGTGCACTCTTAGGGAAAATCTTGCCTAACATTAAATTTATTCCAAACAAATGCCAAACAAAATTTTTTTTGCACACCGTATCTATTTTAAATATCTGCAAAAAACTAGTAGATAATAACAAGAAAATGCTAAGAATTTATACCATAATTTTGTTTAGAATTAAATTCTAAATAAATATTTTTTTGCACACCCTATTTTCAAATAGTATTTTAAATACGAAAGAAAAAATAAAAAAAATGTTATATTTGCATTTAGGATTATTTAAAATAATCTTTAATATAAATTATTTGTAATTATAATTTTTATTAATAATAATACCGGGTTTCTATGTAACTCTTCTAAAATAGTAAATAACAAAATATTGCATATAAAATTAAAATGACAATAATAAATATACGATAAAAAATAATTAAAACATGCAATTTATAAAAATATTTACAGACGAATGATTTTCCCTAGATTTTGCGTGTGCACGTTAACCTAAAACAAGGCGTCGATCCAGGTTGCGAGCAATTTTAGGGAAAAACTTGCCCAAAAAAATATTTTTTTTGCACACAGTAAAATTATTTTTAAACAGTAAAAAAAGAAGATATAATGAAAAAATATTTACTATAAGTTATTCGTAATAATAATATTTAATAATAAATATATCAGATTTCGGTGCAATTCTTCTAAAATATAATAACAATATAAATATAAATATAAATATAAATAACAAAATATTGTTTATAATTAAATTAATAATAAGAAATATACTATAACAGATACTTAAATTATATAATTTAAAAATATTCATGTCCCGAATTTTCTATTTATTGCTAAAGAATGAAAAATCGAATTCAAAGTTGTTTTATTCCAAACTTTTATATAGGAGTGTATATAACTGTTGGCATGGAATCGTAGTAAATTTTATCTAGTTTCTCCCCATCTAACCGAAAAGGGGTGCTTTTATATAAAATTTGTGAGTTGTTTGACAAAAACAATTCTCCCTAGATTTTGCTTATGCGCGTTAACCTAAAACAAAGCGTCGTTCCAGGTTCTGAACACTTTTAGGCAGAAACTTGCCAAAAATCATATTTATTTAACAATACTAATAACTTGTCAATTTAATAGTTTATTCAGTTATTATATAGTATTTATATCTATTATTTTCTATAAAGAACAGAAAAAATAATCTATTTCCAACGATTTCAAATCATAAATCTCTCTCTATAATCATCTACAGTTAGCGTGTTTTTCTTCTAAACAAATGCAACCGTAAAAAAACGGTTCGGTCGAGAAAATTTTCTAGGAAAAAATCAACATCGAGTATAGAAAGAAATGATATGATTGTTTTACCGCAATACCGCTCGACTTGACCGCAAATCTTATTGCGAATTCTTGCCTTCGACAAATTGCTACCAATAGTAATAGACATATATATATATATATATATATATATATATTTATATATATATTAATATAAATATTTCTACTTATAACTATTTTTATTCCAGGTCATCATCCCAAGCGAAAGAATTTTCATTCAAACCTTCAGAGCTTGATAAATACGGTAAATATTTTATAAATATTTATATTATATTATTATTTATTTATTACTATTTTTTCCTTAAAGGTCCTTCAACAAAAGTACCAAGAAAAGGTTCAAAATCAGAGTCCGATGCGGAAAAAAACCAAAAGTCTTCTAGTGGAGTCTTTAATATAAGTGACGATTGGAATTGACTGAAAAATTTGTAAAAAAAAATTGTACAAACGAAAAGGAAATATACTTGTGTTAGAATTGATATAAAAGTAAGTTTTTTATTTATTTATTTTAAGTCTTGGTACCTCAACATTTTTTTTTAAGTTATGATTATTTACAATAATAATTTTTCCATCGCATTTATTAATAAGTTAGTTTATCTTAATATAGGTACACTTATATACATATTTTATATTATTTAAATTATTTTTCATTTTTACTATTTTATTTTATTTGTTTTATTTATTTAATATAACATAGTACAAGAAAAACAAAAAAGTTGATTGAAACATTTTTTTTAATATTTTATTTTTATTTTTAAGACACTTTATTTACTTAATAAATCTTGTCTTATATTTTCTTAAGCGAGCTTATAAGATCATAATTCAAAAATTATTTAACTAGATAATTAGATTTTATTTAGGAGTAAAAAATGTATTAAAGCTTAAAATAAGTATACAAGACTTTGCTTTATCATTTTAAAAATTGTTTTAATAATTTATAATTTTATAAAAGACTTAATAATTACATCACTTTAAAATTTAAATAATTTAAATACTTTATTTTAGATAGATATTAAAAATAAAGAGTGATTTTAATATTTGTATATTTGTTGTATAAATAGTATAAATTAAAAATGAATAATTGAACTGAATTAGATAGAATTGATGTCGTTGAATTTTATTATCTATTTTTCTTATATTTAGAAATATAATGGATTCAATACTATTTTATATATATATATATATATAAATATATATGAATTTAGGCCTATAAGTAATGCAAGTCATTACTTAGTAATTTGTTTGAAAATGATTTTGAAATGAGAATTTTTTTAAATCAATTGAGTTTTCGATCAAGTCATGAAGTGTGATTAAAATATTACAAATCATTTTTATATATATATATATATATATGTATATATATATATATCGCACACGAAGTAAAAAAACAAGATTAAAAAAATATTATATTTCATGCACAAAAATTCAATTACTCTATATTGGCAATTTTTTCTACATATATAACAGTTTATTACATAATTATTTTTGTTTAAATATATATTTCTATTTAAATTAAACAATATTTTATGTGATGTGATGGTATTTACATATATATTTTTCATTAATTTTTACACATAACTTGTTTTGAATTTAATTTAAACATTTTTTTTATTTAGTTTAAATATATATAATTTCTGCATATATAATACCAATATTTCAAAATCAATTCAAATGTTTTTTTAAATTTTATATGTATGTATATTAAGTATATTCTTAGTTCATATATTTTATTTAAATTAATGAAAGTGATATCACTTTGTAGATTATACATATATAATTATATGCCTATCATTTATGACTATAAATATAAACTTGAATACTAAATACTCTTTTTATTATAAACTTAATTTATTTTTATATTATATCAATTCATTAATACATTTTTTAATATATAAATTAATTAGTTATTACTATTATTATTACTTATATAAATATAAGTAATTGCCATCTTTTAAATTAAGAGATTGTAAATTAATTAATTTAATCTAAAAATATACCAGTGAGAAAAAATTCATCTACCATTCCTATATAACAATAAATAATAATTATCATTATTCTAATTACTAGTTTTTAAATTAATTATCCAACATAACCTATTTCTACCACGTGACACAACTGTCAAATTGACAGTTGACGTTAAATGTCAAAATGTCAAAGACTTTGTATTGTACATGTGCTAAATATTTAATTTAAAAAAAAAATTAAACAACATGTTAAGAAAGTGTCCATTAATTGTGATTTTGGGCTCTACAGGAACAGGAAAAACTAAACTGTCCATTGAAATTGCCAAAAAGTTTAAAGGAGAAGTCATTGGGGCTGATTCTATGCAAGTTTGTAAAAATTATAAATTTTAGGTTATGGTAAATTATAATTGTAATAAATATATATATATATATATATATATATATATATATTATAATTTAATAATTTATAATCTATTTACTTTATACACATAAATAATTTATAATACTTTAGGTTGTGTTATTTTATTTGTCAGGAAGGTTAGGTCATATGGTCTTCAAAAGAATATTTTTATATATATAACAACTGTATTAATTATAACAAATATTAATTGTTATAAATATTATACTATATATATAAATATATATATATATATATATATATATTATAATTGAACTATTTATAATCTATTAACTTTATACACTTTTAATATTTATATACAGTATAAAATTATACGTTATGTTACTTTGTCAGGAAGGTTAGGTCATATTGTCTTCAAAGAAATATTAATTATAAGTATTACATTTGTTTTAATTATAATAAATATTAGTTGTTATGAATATTACACTATATATATATATATATATATATATATAATGTAATTGCACACTTACAATCTAATCGATTGCCTATTTGCTTTATACACTTTTTGATATTTTATTCAATGTTTATGATATTTTACCTAAAAAGAATATTATATGTATGTATATATATATATATATATATATGCGTGTGTGTTATTTTTTACAATCTTTGTTATAATTGTTTTGTTTTTATTAAAAAAGTTTTGAATCGTTTGGTGTGTTGGAAGCGAGTATTAGCAATACAACTCTGAATTTGTTTATAATATTAGATATTAAATATAAAAACAATTATTTTGATTAAATGAATTATTGTATGTAAGTATTTTATATTTATCTGGAGTCCTACCACCTTTTATATAGGATTTTTTTATAATATATTATTTGATTTAAAATCTAATCGATTTATACCATTCTTTGTTCTTTTTTTATTATATACACTAATCACATTATAATTAAACTACACTTATAATTTTTTATGTAGTTATTTATTATTTAGGTTTACAAAGGTTTAGATATTGTAACAGCAAAGGCTACAAAAGAAGAACAATCACAAGCCGTACATCATTTATTAGATGTAGCTCAACCCGGAGAGACTTTTACTGTAGTTCATTATAAGCAAAAGGCTTTGGAAATTGTATCCTTTATAAATATAAGTATATATATATATATATATATATGTATATGTGTGTGTGTGTGTAATTGTTATAATCAAATAATGCAGTAAGGTGTTCGAAAAGTTGTAAAGACAGGTTAGTTGTAAAGACAATAAATAAAATTGTAAATGAAAAAATTCGTGGATAGATTTGATATCTTTAAGTATTTTATTTGAAAATAAAACCACAAAAACTTGGTGACAAAATCCGTGGATAGATATCTTTGAATATATTAATAATATGAAAATAAAAGCAGAAGTTAATTTAAATATTTTATATAAAAATAAAAGCAGAAGTTAATGTAAATATTTTATATGAAAATAAATGCAGAAGTCAATTATAAGCATTTGGTATTATAAATATTATTTAAGGCTCTTGTCAACAATGATTTAATTAATAATTATTATAATTACTCCTTTATTACACTTAATTGTGATTTAATATCAAAGCACCTAGCTTTCATTTACCATTAATATTTCTACCTTAACTTTTCACAAAGATCTCAAACCTCCTATCAAAAAACATCCTACCAATTATAGTGGGCGGTACAAACTACTACATAGAATCCATTCTATGGAAAGTTCTAGTCGATCCACCCACAAACAAAAACCTGGACGCCCCAAGACCATCTTTAACAGATAAAAATATATCCCCCGAAGACAGTTCTTCAGATTCTGATGACAACGTTCCATCGAGTGCAATAAAATTCAAACAATCGAGTAATTGTGATGTTAAATTTAGTTTAGACGATGAAAAGAAGTGGGAATTTATGTCTGGTGCTGAGTTGCATGATATTTTGAAGAAAGTTGATAGTGTTTCAGCACAACGTTTGCATCCTAATAATAAGAGGAAAATTATGAGGTAAGATAAAGAAATTATTATTAGGTGTAAGGAAGGTTAGGTTTAGATAAATATTTTTATGTGGTAAGGAAGGTTAAGTTTAGAAAATTTTTATTACGAGGTAAGGAAGTTTAGTTTTTTTGTTATATATATATATATATATATATATATATATATATTTAATAGTCCAAATTTGACTCTTTTTTAGTGAATAAAAACACAAAAATTGATACTAAATATTAAAATTGTTATTCAAATAGTTAAATTATTATGTTAAAAAACTAATAGTAAAACAATAAACTCACTTATAATATTTTTCATACAAAATTATTATGTATCTTTTTAGCTTAGTAAAAGTTTATTATTCTCATATTTTCTTTATTAATATTTCTTTTTTTACAATTTACAATTTTTTCTCTTTTGTTGACAGAAATAATTTACAAATTTGCAATTATATAGTATTATAATTTATTTGTATATATTTATTTATATTAGTATTTTTGTTTTTATTCATAGACTTTTATTTATTTACTTGATTATATTTTAATTTTATCTGAACGTTATGTAAAATATTTAAAAATTTGTTTGCTTAATTGTTTATATTATAAGTTTTTTAAATTAATATTTATTGTTTAATTATTTTGTCGTTTGTTTATTCATATAATTGTTTTTTTTTACTATTTATTTAGTGAATTTTTTATTTATTTGGTGGATTATTTATATATTTAGGAAATTAATGTATAATTTTATAAATACCGTTGTATGATAAATGTTATTAATTTTACTATTTGTTGTTAAAATAGACATATTAAAGTATGAGTGTGTTAAATTACAAGATTGTAATACAAACGGTGCGGCCTCAAGAATTTTTTAAAACAAGTGAATTTTTTATTTATTTTTTAACTTCCCGTAGGGTAAGTTATTGTAATGGGCCGAAAATCGGAATTGAAAATTTTTACATTTCTCGACGTTTTGAAGGTTTTTGAACGTTTTGGCATACCTCAGAAAAAATGGATGTGTGTGTGTGTGTGTGTGTGTGTGTGTATGTATGTATGGATACAAATTTTCGTCCACGTTTTCGGGCGTACGGATCAACCGATTTGAATGGTTTAAAAAACATTCGATTCCTATTAATAAGGAGAGGAGCTGATTAGTTTTTGGCAAAGACAGGTCCAGCAGTTACGGAGATAAGGAGCAAAGAGTGCAGAAAATAGAAATCGAGTTTTTGAGAGAACGGAGCATCCGATTTGAATGATCTAAAAAACATTCCATTAGTAATGATTGGGAGAAAGGGTTATTAGTTTTGCGCAAAGGCAGGCCCAGCCATTTCGGAGATACAGAGCTAAATGTACAAAAAATGGCAGTTTTTGAGAGAACTAAGCATCCGATTCAATTGATTCAAAGAACTTTCTGCTTGTCTTAACAAAATAATTGATTTTGGAAAAAAAAATTTTGTACCATTTTTTTTTTTTTTTTTTTTTTTAAATTTTTTGTATATCGAAAATAATTCAGATTTTATTTTTAATTCTGACTATAGTTCTAATATACTTTAAACAAATAATTTCAACTTTCCAATTCAGTTTATGTAATTCTTATAAATATTAGACAATGTTACAATATTTATAATAATCTATTTGAAAACATTCAATATTCCTCGAACGTTTCGTTACGGTACGGGAAGTTCCAGCAATTTGCCTTAAGGCACGATGCTATGCACCACTGGTTATTTATTTGGTCGATTATTTATATATTTAGTCACTCAATGTTATATGAGTTGTCTTGAAAAATATTTTATAAATATTGTTGGGTGATAATTATTATTAATTTTACTATTTATTATTAAAATAGACATATTAAAGTATGAGTTTACTAAATTACAAGATTGTAATACAAACGGTGTTCCTCAAGAATTTTTTAAAACATATACTTTAACGCAAAGTAGCTTCAACACAATTATGGTTTTATTTGTAAAATATTTTTTAATTCAAGTGGTACGATGAAAAATGTTGATTTTAGTATTTTATGTAGTAATAGACATATTGAGGAACAACTAGGCTAAATTTCTTTATTGTAATACAAACGGTGCGTCCCGGACAATTTTTCAAACACTTTACTGTATTTAATATAGATTGTACGGCGTATGCGGGTTTCATGGAAAAATATTTTATAAATGCAGTTATGTGATAAATATTAATAATTTGAGTATTTGTTGTTAAAATGGACATACTTAGGAAAAATTTGGCTAAATTACTTAGTTGTAATACAAACGGTGCGTCCAGGACAATTTTTCAAACACTTTACTGTACTTAATGTAGTTTGTACGGCGTATGCGAGTTTGTGGACAAAATATTTTATAATTGGTGTTGTGGGATAAATATTAATAATTTTACTATTTCTTATCAAAATAGACACATTGAGGAATAACTGGGTCAAATTACAAGATTGTAGTACAAACGGTGCGTCCCGGACAATTTTTCAAACATTTTACTGTATTTAATGTAGATTGTACGGCGTATGCGAGTTTGTGGACAAAATATTTTATAAATGCATTTGTGTGATAAATATTATTAATTTTGTTATTTGTTGTTAAAACAGACATATTGAGTAATAACTAGATTAAATTACAAGATTGTAGTACAAACGGTGCGTCCAGGACAATTTTTCAAACACTTTACTGTATTTAGTATTGATTGAATAGCGTATTCGAGTTTCGTGGAAAAATATTTTATAAATGCAGTTGTGTGATAAATATTATTAATTTTGTAATATGCTGTTAAAATAGACATATCAAAGTACAAGTATGCCAAATTTCTTGATCGTAGTAAAAACGGTGCGTCCAGGACAAATTTTCAAACTTTTTATTGTATTTAAAGTAGCCTGTATGGCGTATGCGAGTTTCGTGGAAAACTATTTTATAAATGCAGCTGTGTAATAAATATTTATAATTTTAGTATTTGTTGTTAAAATAGACATATTGAGTAATAACTAGGTCAAATTACAAGGTTGTAATACAAACGGTGCGTGCAGGATAATTTTTCAAAAACCTTATTGTACCTAATGTAGCCTGTACGGTGTGTGTGAGTTCCTGGACAAAATATTTTTTAATTGGTGCTGTGTGATAAATATTTTTATTTTTACTATTTATTATCAAAATAGATATATCACAGTATAAGTATGTAAAAATTATTTTTTATTATTATTATCAGATCTTTGCAAATTTATCTACACACCGGCAAAACCCACACGGAAATTTTGTTAGAACAAAGAAATCCTAAACAAGGCGGTTGTGCAATTGGAGGTCCTTTACGTTTCGATAATGTTATTTTATTTTGGCTTAGATGTGAACAGGTAAATTTAACTAATTTACCTTACCTGAATATATTTATTCTTATAAAAAAATTTTTGGTGTATTATTTTAGGAAGTTTTGGACAAACGTTTAGATTCCAGAGTCGACAGCATGATGGAAGAAGGTTTAATTGATGAATTGAAAGAATTTAGAGACTTGTATGTCCGGACACAAGAGTAAGTATAATATAAATTATCTCATGCCACGGATTCCAATTATACCGACTGTTTTATTTTAAGTGCTCCTGATTACACTTTGGGAATTTTGCAAACGATTGGTTTGAAAGAACTAACACCATATTTAGAATATATTGAAAAAACTGAAGACGTTGATGAACTACACAAAAATAAATTGCTTAAAGAGTGCTTGGATAATTTAAAACTTGTAACGAGACGGTGAGTAAATAAAAAATGTTGTATTGAAATTTTGTGAATATTTTTTGCAATTTTTTTTTTGCAGATATGCTCGGAAACAAAACCGTTGGGTTAGGAATAGATTTTTGGGATACAAAGATCGTCAGGTATGTAAATTAAAAAATAAAATTTTAATTTTTGCCGGAAAATCGCATTAAGTCATTTTGAATTCTTGGATACCAAAATTGGACTTTAAAGTGCAATAACGTGTTTAAAAAAAATTATGCAGAACGCACCGTTTGTATTACAACATCGTAATTTGCCACACTTATACTTTGATATGACTATTTTAATAACAAATAGTAAAATTAATAATATTCATCATTCAACAGCATTTATAAAATATTTTTTGTATAAGACCGCACTCGTGATGAATTTTGTGTTAAAGTATAATAATGTTTGAAAAAATTCTTGGCGTCACACCGTTTGTGTTACAACCTTGTAATTTAACATATTTGATCTTTAATATGTCTATTTTAAGAACAAAAAGTGAAATTAATAATATTTATCACACAACACTAATTATAAAATATTTTTTTGAGAAACTCACATACACCATACAACCTACATTAAATACAATTGAGTTTTTAAAAAATTGTCCTGGTCGCACCGTTTGTATTACAACCTTGTAATTTAACATACTCATACTTTGATATGTCTATTTTAATAACAAATACTAAAATCAACAATTTTTATCATACAACTCTATTAAGAAAATAATTTTTCATGAAACTCATATACTACATATATACAATCTACATCTAAGAAATTTTTTACCAAACATTTACTTTTGAGCTATAACAATTGTATGTCGACGTTTATAATTATTATAAAAAAAGCGACTTAACTGATCTGTGTATTTTTTTTCAGAATATTTAGTCAACATTCATATGTATCGAATGGTGTTTAAATTTTAAAAATCCATAAATAATTGTTAATAAAACCCTGAAGTCACTTTTATAAAACCCGTACAAATTTTAGCTAGTAATAATTTGTAATAACAAAAAAAAAACTACTTACATGTGCAGTTTTTTTTTAGTATTTAGTCAACCCTACGTATCGAATGGTGTTTGAATTAAAAAAATCCGTTAATTAATTAAAAAATTATATTTGGTGTTGTAAACGAAACTCGAATAAAACTTTTTATTTAAATCACAATTTTAAGTTAGTACAATTTTTGACTGTTCTTATTATTGCAAAAAAACTGTTTGAGTGATATGTATAATTTTTCTTGAATATTTAGTCAACATTCAGATGTATCGAATGGTGTTTAAAATAAAAAAATCCGTTAATTAATTAAAAAATTATATTTGGTGTTGTAAACGAAACTCGAACAAAACTTTTTATTTGAATCACAATTTTAAATTAGTACAATTTTTGACTGTTCTTATTATTATAAAAAAACTACTTGTCTGATCTGTGTAATTTTATTTTTGGTATTTAGTCAACATCCTCATGTATCTAAGGGTGTTTAAATTTGTTGATTATTTTTCGAGTTATTGTTAACAAAACCCCAGAGTCACTTTTATAAAACCTGTACAAATTTTAACTAGTACTATTGTTGACGTTTCTAATTATTACAAGAAACTACTTGTCTGATATGTATAATTTTTCTTGAATATTTAGTCAACATTCAGATGTATCGAATGGTGTTTAAATTTAAAAAATCCGTTAATTAATTAAAAAATTATATTTGGTGTGTAAACGAAACTCGAACAAAACTTTTTATTTGAATCACAATTTTAAGTTAGTACAATTTTTGACTGTTCTTATTATTATAAAAAAACTACTTGTCTGATCTGTGTAATTTTATTTTTGGTATTTAGTCAACATCCTCGTGTATCTAAGGGTGTTTAAATTTGTTAATTATTTTTCGAGTTATTGTTAACAAAACCCCAGAGCCACTTTTATAAAACCTGTACAAATTTTAACTAGTACTATTGTTGACGTTTCTAATTATTACAAAAAAACTACTTGTCTGATCTGTATATTTTTTTTTACATATTTAGTCAACATCCATATGTATCGAATGGTGTTTAAATTAAAAAAATCCGTTAATTAATTAAAAAATTATATTTGGTGTTGTAAACGAAACTCGAACAAAACTTTTTATTTGAATCACAATTTTAAGTTAGTGCAATCTTTGACTGTTCTTATTATTGCAAAAAAACTGTTTGTGTGATATGTATAATTTTTCTTGAATATTTAGTCAACATCCATATGTATCGAATGGTGTTTAAATTAAAAAAATCCGTTAATTAATTAAAAAATTATATTTGGTGTTGTAAACGAAACTCGAATAAAACTTTTTATTTAAATTACAATTTCAAGCCAGTGCAAATTTTGACTGTTTTTATTATTGCAGAAAAACTGTTTGTGTGATATGTATAATTTTTTTTGAATATTTAGTCAACATTCAGATGTATCGAATGGTGTTTAAATTAAAAAAAATCCGTTAATTAATTAAAAAATTATATATAGTGTTGTAAACGAAACTCGAGCAAAAATTTTCACCTGAAGAATTTTTGACTATTATAATTATTACACAAAAACTACTTATCCTATACGCACAATTTTTTTGGCAATTTAGTCAACATCTCCATGTTCCAAATGGCATTTAAATTTTTTATTACCATCAACTTTATTACTGTTTCCAATTTTGGTATTGAAATTTGGCAAATCAGATTTTCTGGTCAATTCTATGTCTTTTACCCAGGTGCCTCCTTTGTATGGTTTAGACACCAGCAATCCTTCCAAATGGAATGAGATGGTCAGAGATCCTGCTTTCCATATTATAGAAAGCTATCTTTCTGATCAGCAACCAAAAGTTGAACCTTTGGAACAAATTGTCAACCCGAATGCAGCTGATGATTTGAATCCAGAAGTAATAATAATAATAATAATTATTGATTAATGGGTAAATTGGTTAATTGGTTTGTCTTTTATTAGGTTACTCATTTTTGTGAAGTTTGCCAAAGGATTTTCATAGGCGATTACCAGTGGCAATTGCATACAAAGTCCAAAAAACATCAACGTGTTGCCAAATCGAAGGCGAAGGGCCAAAAAGTTGATGGAATAAAATCAGAGTAAATGTTTTTTGTAAATATTTTTTAAAACTTTGTACTTTTTGAAATAAATGTAAATGAATATTATAATATAGTATGTACTAAGAATGTAAATTACTTTTTTTTCTATTTATTAAATTTGTGATAAAAATGTCTTAAAATTTGGTTGCAAAGGAATTTATGATATGAGGGTGAAAATTTAGGGTTTTATCTCAAAGACTACCTCAAAGTTAATATTAAGAGTTAAAACTTTCAGAGATTTTTTTTACCAATTTGGGAGCATTTGAGCCTCTGGAAGCAAAGAAATACAAAAATGTCCATATTAAGGACCACTGTGAATTTTTAATATTAAGAGACATTTACGAGATTTTATAATATTACCCAAACCCATTCGTCATTCAAATTATAATTTAAATAACAAGTTTAAATAATAATTGAAACATTTAATGTGTACGTTTCGACCCCAAATGTGTGTCATCGATTAAATTTCAATGTTTATCCCAAGTCTTGCAAAAGGGTTTTATATTTAATATTTTATATTAATCCATATAAGATTTAAATTAAACATAAATTATGAGGTTTTTTTGTTTGGAGCTCTAAAATGTTCAGAAAAAAATTCCAAGAATTCAAGTTTTTTAATTTAAATCTTTATTACTTCACAAACACGATTTCTTTTAATTTTATTTAATTATTTTCAACATATTGAAAATTTTGTATCAATTATTATAAAAAAACTCAATCTTTAAGTTTTTTTCATTTTAGTTTTATTTAGATAAATTTTTAAAATAAAACATTCATTTTGTAATCTCTAGTTAACATTTTACAAATTTATCACAAATTTCAAATTCAAAAATTTAAATACAAAATTTATTAATTTCTAATTTTGACTGTAGCATACAAAGTATTCATAATATATAAAAAAAATATAACAATTAAATTCGTTAAAAATATATATGTATATGTATAATTTATATATATATATATATATATATATATATATACATATATATATGTATATGTATAATTTAAGGAACAAATTTTTCCCCAGCTCTCCGTCTAGGTCTCCCATATATCACTTCCTCATATTTTTACTCTTTATAATTCATTCATAAAATTCGATTTGTAAGTGGGTCTGTAGACCTCAAAGATTAGCCCGAAGGCAAATAGAAAGAAAGTTATGATTCTGATTTAATCGAAAGTTTAAAAATCTAAATCTTTCCTAAAGTTATTTAAAAAATTCTTTAATATTATGTAAAACATCGAAAAGAGAGACTAATTGTGCAACACTAAAATATAATGTCACTTTGACCTCTTGAATAGAAATTGACCCGAGGTAATAAAATTGATATATATATATATATATATATATATATATATATATATATTTATGAATTATTTAGAATCGGGCAGTAACACCAAGTAAAAAAAACGTTTTTTTTACTTAGTATTTACACTTGGTGTACACCAAGTTTTTTTTACTTGGTGTTACTGCCCGATTCTAAATAATTCATCAAAATATATATCAACATCAATCTCACATATTTCAATACACACACACACATATATATATATATATATATATATATATTAATAATTTTTAAATATTATAATAAATATTTACAAATTATTTTCCAAAGATTTGAATATTTATACTCGTACGTAAACTATTTTAGTATAATTTTTCAAATTTAATGTTAATAATATTTATTATTAATATTATTCATAATAATATTTATTAATATTTTCACAAATTTTTTTCCATTTAAATATTAGTTTTATTCTGCTTTTTCAATAATTTTTATTTATTCTAAATAAATATTTATTTTTTATATTTTGTAAACTTTTTGATTTTTATTTTAATGTTTTTAATCAATTTATTTTAAATAGACAATTTAGTGAATTCTTCGATGTTTTTTTGTCTTTTGTATACTTTCAGATTTCTAATTAAATTTCAATAAATTAATTTATTATAAAAACACAATATGGATATCTTTTTATATTTTTTGTCGAGTTTTTTTTTAATTTTTGTGAATGTTTGGTTTTGTAAAAAATATTATCATAAATAATGTAATATTAATTAACTAGTTCTTTAAAAATAGATTTTTTAAAATAATGTTTAGATATTTTTTGTATCGAATTATTTTTTTTGTATTTTTTTTTTAATTTAAGATTTTGAAAAACAATATTATGGATATATAATTTATATAATTTAATAAATTAATAATTCATAAATTAAATTCATTTTTTAATTAATAATAAGCATTTTTAAATGTTAAATAGTTAATTTAGACAATTTTTCGATTTTTTTTTATTTCAATCTTTCATATATTTTTAATTTTTAGATTTTCAATAAAACATTATAAAAATAGGAAAAAAAATATAATTTTTGGATATGTTTTTATTTGGAATTGTTTATTTTTGTTAATTTATTAAGATAATTCAGATATTTTTTTGATATTTTTTGTGTCGAATTATTTTTTTTGGATTTTTTTAAATTTTTTAAAACATTATTATGAATATAAAATTTATATAATTTAATGTTAATTTTGATTTTAATTTAGATCATTTTAACATATTTCATTCGATTTTGTTTTTTTTTAATATTTTGTGAATTTTTAGATAGATAATTTAAAATTTATTTTTTTATTTATTTATTTTAAATTTAATTTAACAATTTTTAATAAAAAGTTAATTTAGATAATTTTCAGATATTTTGTTTAAATTTGTCTTTCATATTTTTTAAATTTTTCACATTTTCAAAAAAACATTATAAAAATAGGAAAAATATATAATTTTTGGATATTTTTATTTAAATTTTTTTTTGTTTAATTTTTGCAATTTTGTAAAATCATAAAAAGATAATTTTTAGGATTTAATATTAATTTATTATAAATAGATAATTTAGATAATTATTTTTTTGTTGAATTTGTTTCTTATATTAAAAAAGCTATGTTATAATTTATTACTTTATATAACTTAAAATAAAACTAATAATTTATAATAAATAGATAATCTAGATAATTTTTACTTATTTTTTTGTTGAATTTGTTTTTTTATATTTTTTAAGTTATTAGATTCTCAATAAACATTATTCTAAATTAATAATTTGAATAATTTAATATGTATTAATACATTTATTATAAAACAAGCTATTTAGTTAATTTTTTTCTTCAATTTGTTTTTTTTATATTTTGTAAACTTTAAGATTTTTGAATGAATGAATTTCTGTCTGTCTGAGATATGAAAATAATGTATATATAAATAAATAAATTTAAAAAAAAATATGAATATAAATAAAAGATTAATTTGTTAACATTCTGATATTTTTTGGTTTAAAAATGTGTTTTACATTTTTTGAATTTCTGAAAAAAATATTATAAAATAAATTAAGATAATTATTTCATATTTTTTGTTTGAATTTGTGTTTTATATATTTTGAATTTCTAGATTTCCAAAAAATATAAACATATTTATTTTAGTACTTCTATTTTTTGTCCTATTTTTTATATTATTTCTGGTGAATTATGTTTTATTAAATTAGTAGCATTAAAAAATTAAATAAATAATGCAAGATTTAAATAAATTAAATTTAACAGTACATATTTTTTATTCAAAATTTCATAGTTAAAAAATTGGTGTTTTGAGAAATAGGAAATTCTGAAGCGAATTTTGAATTTAATATAACATTACTGAACAATAAAATAAAAATTATATATATATATATATATATATATATATATATTAAAAATTTGTAAATCACATTTTATAGTTTATTATGAAATCTTATACCTAAATAGACAAATCCATACCTCACTCAGGCCTTTTAACATAATTATATAACTTTATTTGAATTTTATTTCCATCTACATTTAAATAATGTGTTATGATATAATATTATAACATCCGAAATGAATTCAAATCGTTTTATCGGTGAAAGTTATTATAATTCGTGATATATTATTCACAAATCCCAAAAATCTCGTATAACAAAATTTTTCATATAAAAGACAGACGAATCGGTTCCATCAACATTGTCAAACGACAAACAGTCACAGAAACAGAACAATCATGAAGACATTTGTAAGTTTGAAAATTAAAATAAAATATTTATAAATAATTATTTGGGATTTTTTAATCGGGAAAATATTTATTGATGTTTTGTGTTTAATTGTGAAAGTGGTAATAAAAATTTGAGTAGGTTAATAAGTGGTTATATGGTAAAGTTATGAGGAAGTGCATTTTATACGTCATTTTAGTTCAACATTTTTTTCCTGAGTAAATAAATAGTGGTCTTGAAAATTAAATTAAAGTATATATATATATATATATATATAAGATTTTTTAAAATTACCAATCAAAGATAATATAAATATTAATATCTGTACTGTGTACATTTCGACTCCAAATGTGTATCATCAACTCAAATTTCATTTCTCAAATTAATTTTTTTGAAATTTATTATTTTTGATATTTCACTATTCAATTCCAATTTTTTTGCAGTTATTAAATATTTTTTTCTGTAATTTTAAGATTTTTTCTTCGGAATTTAAAAGTGTTAAAAACAAAATTTAAATAATTCATATTTTAAAATTTAAAGTCTGTCTTTGTGGTATCAATTTTGAATTTTAATTAAAATATTTAAAATCAGTGAAAATTTTTCTCATTACATTTAAAATTGATAATTAATTTTTTGAACATTCAAAAATATAAAAAACAAATTCAAGCAAAAAATATCGAATATTTATATTAATTATCTTTCTACAATTATTTATTATTGAATTATATTATTTATCTACTTATAATAATATTTTTTGAAAATCTAAAAGTTCAAAATTATAAAAATATTAGAATTTCAAATTTTTTATCATTTTATTTTGCAATTTTCAAGTTAATAAGTATAAAATTTTTATTTCAAAATTTCACATTTTAAATACTAAATTTATGAATTTCTAATCTTAAATTTTAATGATATTTGTAATAAAATTTCAATTTTTTTTAAATATTTTGAAACTAATTAAATCCTCCAATATAAAATTCAAAATTTGTAGATTTTTGTATTGAAATTTTACATTGTACATGAAATTTTAAAATTCAAGGTATTAAAAATTTCACGATTATTCAAGATTTTCAGACACATTTTAATTTATGATTTGACTTAATTGTAATACATTAAACATTCTATTTTTAGACTTCAAAATTTAAAATATAAAGATTCAAGGTTTTCTGATTCAAATGCCAAGATTGTATATTTCTTGTAATATTTCAAGAATTTTTAACATAAAATTAGTCTTAAAAATTTAATTCCAAAAAATAAAAAAATCAAGACTCAAATATCAAAATTCAACAATTTCAACTTTAAATTAACATTATTAATTGGAGAAATTAATTTTGAATATTTTGTGATAAAATTTTACGAATTTATGTTCTAAATTTCAAAAAATTAATCCCTAAAAAATAACACTTACAAAATGATTTAAAAATATATATTTTAATTTATAATATTAGACTTTAAAAATATTTTTTGAGAAATGATACATTTAAAATTAAAAATTCAAGAAATTACAAGACAAATTTGAATTTATCGATTTTTATTCTAAATTTAAAATCTTAAGGTAAAAAGTTTCAAAATTATTTGTCTTCAATTTCAACATTTTATATATTTAATTTTCTAGAATTTAAATCAAATTTTAAGTCAAATTAAAGTTGTACGATTTTATGAACCTAATTTTGAAACTTTTTTATAAATTATATTTCAAATTAAAAAAATAACAAAATTTAGAAATATTAAATTAAACAATATTTTCTGAATCAAACTTAAAGGATATATTTTTAAATTATTTATAATATTTATAAAATAATATTTTTAAAATTCATAATTCAAGAAATGAAATATCGAGATTTAGGAAATTTCAATGTATAAAAATTGTTATTAGAGATTTTAAAATTTTGGACACCAAATTTTAAGATTTTTAGTTTGAAATGTGAAGAATATTAATTTTTTTTAAATCATAAGATTTTTTCTTTGGAATTCCAAAATGTTAGTAACGTATCTAAGAAATTCATGTTTTAAAATGTAAAGTGTTCGTGGTATCAAATTTTTAATTTTAATTAAACTAAATTAAAATATGTGAAAGTTTCACAATTTTGAAATAAAATTTATTTTGTAATGTGTTGATAAGTTTAAAATTTTCTTTGAATAATTGTAACTTTTGGAAATAAATTTCAATATAATTACGAAATATAAAGTGAGATATATTAATTTTGTTTGTCTCTATTTAAACACCTCATTACAATAGACTCTCTACAATATTTATCCTTAAATGTCATTCTATTTACGTCAACAAAAGTGTCAAGATATTGAATTTAACGAATTGATTTTTTTTTACAAATTATATATTACTTGACCACTTTCTCAGATCGCAGCTGTTTTGTTAACTAGTGCCCTGGTATCAGGCCTGGAGTTAAAAAAACTGGACAAACGTGGTCTTTTGGGCTCATCCTCCAGCTCCGGATCCGAAGGCTACAACTACGAACCTCCAGCATTCAGCCCTAAATTCCAGGAAGGTCCTCCAGCCCACATCGAAGGACCACCAGCACCCTCCCACATCGAAGAACCATCCCACATCGAAGGACCATCATCCTTCGAAGGACCATCTCACATCGAAGGACCATCATCTCTCGAAGGACCTCCAGCACCTGTCGAAGAACACCACAACCACCATGAAGAAGAGCACCATCACAACCACCAAGTGGAACATTCGGTATCCTACAACCGTGTAACAATCCCCGTACCAGTCAAAGTCCCTGTGAAAGTGGAAAAAATCATCACTGTCCCTTACAAAGTAGATGTCCCTTACCAGGTCGACAGGCCCTACGAAGTCCACGTACCACAACCCTACCACGTACCGGTTGTAAAACACATACCGGTTCCGGTTGACCAGCCTCATCCGGTTGAGGTACCGGTTCCGGTAGAGGTTCCGGTGGTACATAAGGTTTTTGAACCGGTTCCACATCCGGTAGCAGTTCCGGTGCATAAGCATTATCCGGTATACATTTACCACAAGGCACATCCTTTCCATTTTAGGGTTCATGTTGTGGAGAGGAAAGGGCACGGTTGGTGGTAATAAGTGGTAATAGTGGTAATAGACTTAGTTTATGTTTATGTTGATTGTTGAAAATTTATTTATAAGTAGAAATAAAAAATTAAATATATAAACATTTTTTTTGATTTTTTGCTCCTGCATTATTTTGAGACAGATGTTTGATAGTCATTGTCGTACCGATGCATTTATTTAGTATATCGCTTGTAACTTTTAAACGGTTTGTTTTAAGTAAATATTTTAAGGAAATTTGTGCAAAATTAAATTATCTACAACATTTTCTAATAACAAAATGACCTGCAGCAACTCGGTATACTCTAAAAATGCAATTGATACCTAAATATTTATCCAGGCTGTATTAAATTAAATTATAAATTAACTGATTGTGAGGTTCTATGTATAAAATTATGTCTATATATATATAGATATATGTGTGTGTGTGTGTATATAAGATGATTTGCATTGAATTTGACTTGAAAACAAAATATTCATGTTAAATTATAATATATTCATTATTTTGGATTTGTTCAGAAAAAGTTTGTTTTTCATAGATGTTTCTCAAATTTATTATTTTTTTTATTTTTTTTTAACGTTGTCTTTAAAAAAACTTGTTTATTACATATTTAGTATATTGTTTAATTATATATCATAAGCATAAAAGAGTTCTTACAAAATATTTTGAATTTCTTCATTTTTAATCATAAACCTTATTAAAGTCTTTAAGTAAAATTCAAAACGTGAAATTGCAAAAATTAAAAACACACAATATAATTAAAATCTGAAAATATTGAAAATTTATGTTTCAAATTTTGGAATCTAATTTTTTTTTATTTTCAATTAAAAAATATCTTAAATTTAATTTCGAAATTTAATTAAAATTTAAAACGTCAAGACTTGAAAATCAAAAAATTGTATTTTTAAAATACGAAATAAAAAATTAAAGTCTTCAAATCTTGAATAATCGTGAAATTTACATATTATTAATTATGTTCTTAAAATTACTTTCAACATTTTGAAAAATTTAAAAATCTTGATATAAAAAATTAAAAATGAGATTCAAAATTTTCAAATATTAAAATTTTAAATTTGTCATCTTGAAATCATGAAATAAAAGTTTTTTTAAAAAAAATCATCTAAAAAATATAAAATAACAAAAAATCTATAAAATTTTAATAACTTTAAGTATTTTAATTAAAATTGAAAATTGTGCATCACAAAAACTTTAAATTTAAAAATTAAATTGTCTACAACTTTGTCTAATATTAAAATACCCTACAGCATTTCGGTATACTCTAAAAATGCAATTGATACCTAAATATTTATTCCGGCTGTATTAAATTAAATTATAAATTAACTGATTGTGAGGTTCTATGTATAAAATTATATCTAATTTTTTTTTAACTATTTTCTAAAGTAATTCAAACCCCAAATATAAAGATAATTAAAACCAAAATTTTTATTGTAAATTGAGAAAAAAATATTGGAATATAAAATAATAAATACAATATATATATATATATATATATATATATATATATACAAATTTATTTTAAATAAAAAAATGCATACATACTAATTGTACATGCTTCTAAAAATTATTAAATAAATTAATATATAAACATTATATATTTACAATTATGCTCATTTGTTTAAAAATTAATTAATCAATTAAATATATATATATATATATATATATTTACGTTTTCATCTAATATTTTTTTATTTAATTCATTCATCCAATAACCACTCAATTTAGTTTTTATTTATATATTAATTATGAAAATATAATTAGGGGTTTTGATATTTGTTATTTAGTCAAATATTGCAATTAATTTTAAAAATAATTGCAACATATTAGTTTATCTATAAATAAATATTTAGGTAAAAAATTCTTTGTATAGTATTAAAAATGTAAAATATAGTATTAGTTAATGTAAATATAAGCAAAGATATCTTTTGAATTAATTATTGCAGTGCAATGTATAATTTTTTAAAATTTTAATCTATTATTATTATGAATTGTAAAAATAGTTTAATTTTGTAACCAAATGATAAAGAAAAAAAAATATATATATATATATATATTATGTTGTCAAATATCTCCCTTCCGCTTTTTTGCTCTTGGTTTATAATACAAAAAGGCGGAAGGGAGATATTTGACAACCTAATATATAAACTGTTTTAAGTATTTTATTAAGTTTTTTGTTAAAAAAAATTTAATTTAAGCAACTTAATTAACTTAGTCTTAATTAACCAAATGAAGTCATTTTTGCTTGACATCGGATTGTCTCAGGCGTTTATTTGTATTGGAAGTTTGTGGCTCTAACCATTAGACCACGGAGAAGCCTTTAATATAATAATATTAATATATATATATATATATATATATATATATATATATATATATTTAGCTATATATTTTCATCAAAATTGGTCGAGACGTTGTGCACGTTTGGGATTTCCAAGGGCATTGCTTTTTGCAAGATGCATATGCCACCCAGAAACCCCAAGTGTGCTCAACCACTGGAAAAACACTGAAAAAAATAAAATTATATATATATATATATATTAAATTATTTGTAAATACATCTCTGTATATTAGATTCGATCACAGGTGTAAAATTTGTGACAAAATGTAAACAATGACGTCACTCGTTAGTGCAATTTCGGACTTTGCAACGTTCATATGTATAAATCGTCAAGTTAAATAAGGAATATTCCTAATTTGTACAATTATACGACATTATTGTGATTAATTTAATTAAAAGCTTAGAATAATAATAAAATATAAAGGATATAAAAACTTATAATTATATTTAACTTAAAAATAATATGCACGTTTTTGGCGTAAGAAACATTGAACATTTTAAGTATTTTTCGTTATTAAGTTATATACAATATAAATATTAATGGCGTTTTTAATATAAAATTTATTACATAATATATGAAGTGCGTTATATTTTTATTAATACAATATGAACAATACTCAGATTACAATTAGATTTTTATGGTTATTTGGAAAGTGTATTTGTTATTTGCAGATTTATCATAAAAGGAGATATAAGGTACGTGATAGCATTACATTTATTATTATTTTTTTTATTAATAATTCAAATATTTTATGAAAAATTGATTTTTTGCATTGGCGTCTTATCAGTATCTATTAATATTTTTCTCGCTTCTACATATTATATTTATTGAATATTAAAATTAAAACTAGTGGGGTGTATGGCATCGTGCCTTAAGGCAAATTGCTGGAACTTCCAGCACCGTAACGAAATGTTCGAGGAATACTGAATGTTTTCAAATGGATTATTATAAATATTGTAACATTGACTAATATTTATAAGAATTATATAAACTGAATTGCAAAGTTCAAATTATTTGTTTAAAGTATATCAGAACTATAGTCAGAATTAAAAATAAAATCTGAAATATTTTCTATATATAAAAACAATTGAAACAAATGTTTTTTCCAAAAACAATTATTTTGACAAAACACACAGAAAGTTCTTCGTGTCATTCCAATCGGACGCTTAGTCTCTCAACTAAGCCCTTTTTTGCACATTTAGCTCTGTATCTCCGAAACCGCTGGACCTGCCGTTGTCAAAACAAATCACCAGTTCTCCCCATCATTACGAATTGAATGTTCTTTGTATCATTCAAATCCGATACTCCCTTCTCTCAAAAACTCGATTTGTATTTTCTGCACTCTTTGCTCCGTATCTCCGTACCGGCTGGACATGCCTTTGCCAAAAACTAATCAGCACATCTGCCTATCAATGGGAATCGAATGGTTTTGGAACCATTTAAATCGGTTAATTCGTGCTCCCAAAATCGCCGACGAAAAATTGTATCCACACACACACACACACACACACAGACACAATGTTCAGAAACCTTCAAAACGTGAAAAACTGCAAAATTTTTCAATTTCGATTTTTGGACGATTACTATAACTTTTCCTAAGGGTGTTTTTTCTTAGAGTTTCTAAGTAAAAGTTAAGGTTTTAGATCAGATACTGAATAGTAGTTATTTAGTAGACCCTAGAGTTTACTCTTCCATCGTATCATTTATTTAATATACATATTAGAGTGGTCCTTAAAATGGTTATTTTCGAATTTCCTTGCTTCCAGGGGCTCAAATGGTTCCAAATAGATAAAAAACAATTCTCTGAAAGTTTTAGCTTTTAATATTAACGTTTAGATAGAGCGCAATTCAATCAAAGTTTTGTATGGAAATAGCATGTAAAAATTTTCAAAAATTTTAAAAATGTTTTTAGATGTAATTTAGCAAACTAGTCGCTAAGTTATACCTAAAACATTTTCTTTAAATTTTCAAAAAAATTTTCATGCTCTTTCCATACGAAGTTTGATTGAATTGCGCTCTATGTAAACGTTGATATTAAGAGCTAAAACTTTCAGAAAATTGTTTTTTATTAATTTGGAACCATTTGAGCCCCTGGGAGCAAGGAAATTCGAAAATGATCATTTTAAGGACCACCCTAATACATATATTTAGATGCTATCCAAGATTTAAGACAAGATCCTGGTATTTACCATTTTATCACATAAATATTCTGGATGATACATTTTTAGAGTAAACTTTAATCTATACTTTTTCTGGTTCCTCAGACTAAACTCTGTGCTTCTCTTAATAGAAAAATTGTTCCTATACTCTTGGATTATTTTGACACTTGTCTGTACCATATGGCACCATTGCTCATGGAAATTACATTTATCCTAATATCAGTCTCTGCTCAATAGTAAATCTTAGATAACAATCATTAGTCTTGGTTGTTGATAAATTATTTATACTAGTTCATAGTCAACTTTGTCTCTTACTGAATTTAATTCGACAACCATTTCATCGATCTATTACATATGCCCTCAGACCAGGCCCTGGTCTACTCCATTTTTTATCACATAGTGTCTTTGAGTAACATCAAAGATTCTAGACTAGATCCTTGTTTACATTTGTAAACGGTGTCTAGGTTCTTCGACTAAAATCTGATCTATATTTTT